AACTTTAGCAATTAAATTTTTTTTAGTACTCCGTATCTATATAATAAAAGAGCAATACTAATTAACCCATTATCATAGAGAAACACGTTTTTTTTTAATCATTCATAATTCTTTACAAGATCATAGGAGTGTTTGGTAAATAACTATTAGCGAATTGAGTTAGTGTGTTTGACTAGTTGATAGCATTAACTGATTGTAGAAAGATGTTTGGTAAATTAGTTGTTAGCTGATAGCTGAATACATACAAAATGACTTTCTTAAAAAAAACTGATCAAAAAAATTACTTTGAGTAGCTTTTTGAATTTTAATATTTTGGAACAATAAGTTGTTACAAAAAAACTAATTAGTCAAACACTCCTATTGACTATTTAACCAAGTCAAACAGCTAATAGTGGTCAAACAAATTAAAATTGATAGGTTAACTATTTTACCAAACATGACCTATATATGTTTTATACTGAAATCGTAATAGAAGTATTATCACACACTACATAGTAGTTGACATTCAATTAGTATTTAAAATTAAAGAAAAAGATGAAATTATCTATTAATCACTATCAAGTTGAAACACTTAACAAGGAGCTTATTAGTACAGTTTGTAAATGATTTGTTTTTTTTTTAAAGAATATATATTCTATATTATATATAATAACAAAATCCTGGAATTTTAACTTTCCGCCCAATTCCTAAAAAAACTCTATTCCCAATAAAATATATTGATTTCTACTTTCCCATTCGTACAATAATTCTGGGTTAAAATTCTATTCTAAAATTTTAAAATAGTGTAATACAATTCCCTTTGTACATCTATACTATATATAATAACAAAATCCTGGAATTTTAACTTTCCGCCCAATTTCTAAAAAATCTCTCTTCCTAATAAAATATATTGATTTCTATTTTTTCATTCGTACAATAATTCTGGGTTAAAGTTGTGATGTGTCAAAAGTTCAGCAAGGCATAACTTTTGACTCGGTTGTCCGTTTTGGACAAATGTTTTTTTGAAATCGCGTATTTTTTTTAGATCTATCCACCGTAAACTGCCGTAGGCGGTTTGACCCACCAATTTCTAAAAAAAAATGCTTTATTAAATAGTTTCTAAGAAAAAACTATGAGAACCTTATGTTTTATTAATGAATTTTTAAATTTTTTAATTAAAAAATTGTCTCATGCATTATTTGATAATCTCTCTTTATAATTGGTCAAATTATTTAATTATGGTAAATTAGGGAATAATTAATGATGGTAATATAAATCCTAGAAGAATATTAGAATTGAAGAATATTTAATTATTGTTATATTATTATTGTGACTCATGAAATACAATACAAGAATATTTAATTATGGTTATATTATTATTGTGTGCCTCACGGCCATTATATACTAACTAAACTTGAAAAGAAACTAATAATAATAATAGTAATAATAATAATATAATAATAATAATATAAGTGTTAAAAAAATATTTAAAAGTAATTAAGTGTTAATAATAATAGTAAGAATATTAACGTAAGAATTATAACATAGAATAAATCGTAATAATTAATAACTATAGTCTAAGGTGAAATTTCAAATTGTCAATAAAGATAAGCGACCTCCGATAAAATTAACTCTTTATCGATTTAAATATTCTTAATATATTACAACAATTCCATTCTTTACATCGCACGGGTGAAAATACTAATTATCACAAAATATCATATGATAGTACGAACTTTCTCCTGAAATGATAATTAATTGGTGAATTGTGTGTGGCCATACAATTTTGTAATTTCTATGGGATGTTGTCAGCCTGTCAGGGTAGAAATATGAATGACATAAAAGTTTGAAAAAGCATAGTAGCTTAGCTTGTTCCATCTCTAACTCCAATTCCAATCCAAATTAATTTAACATAGTACTCACTCACTCCATTTTATGTGTCTAATTTAATTAACAAGATTTTATTAAAATTATTTTAATTTAATTTTTTATATAAATTTAATATTAGTATATAAAATTTATATATTTATAAATTACATTAAAAGTATTAATAAACATAAAAGAATAAATTAAAAATTATTTAAAAATGTTAATAACAATAATAAAAAAAAAGAATAATTGATTTAACCTATAAATAATAAACAAGATAGGTACAACGGAACAAAAGAGGTACAATGAATGTTCTCTAGATTCAATCATGTGGTACTCTAAAAAAAAAAAAAAAGGGTTCCAACTTCAACATAATTGTATTTCTTTGTCAAACAAAAAAAGACAAAAAAAAATCTGAGTAATTTTTAAGTGTATTTATTTTTACCTTAATTTTTCTAGTGAGTATTGTAATTTATAAATATTCAAACAACGGTATTCTTTTTTTTACGGAATAACCATAACGTTTTTTCCTCAACCAATATATAATCAGTGTTGTAAAAATCAGTCTAGGCGGCAACTAGGCGCTAGGCGCCCCTAGGTCGAGGCGACTTCAGTCGGCTGGCTGACTAAGCGCCTAACTCAGCCAAGTTGAACGCCGCCTAACTTGGTTGACTTGGTGCCCAACTCGGCCAAGTTAACACTCAATTTAGGCGAGTGATTTTTTTTTTTTTTTTGCCTGCTCGGCTACTCCTCTTATCTTCTATATATATTCTTCCAGTCATGTACTCAACTAACTATCTAACACATGCAGTTGACTAGTTCGAGGATTATAACAGTCTAACAACTCCCAACCCTAAGTGAAAAAAGTAGGGACAATATACTCGGATTATTCGGCCGCCTAGACGCTAGGCGCCCGACTATTGCCTAGTGTATTCTACAACGAACATTGTATATAATTAATCCATAACAGCATATTTTCGATATGATTTTCATTTTCCACACATTTTTTATGTTTTTTATTTATTTTCACTTTTGAGAGAACAAATTAAATACTTTACATGATTGAAAGACATATAGATGATCATGGCTTGACTTGATGATCATAGAACTATGAACATAGACTTTGTTTATGGGGCAAAATGAATACTTGTTAGATTGCTTGTTGTCAAGTAGGAGGATCTTGGAACATTATCCCTATGCCTTAGGAATAGAAAAACCCTAATTAATGAGGTTTCAATTTTCAAACCAAATCATTGTAAGGCACAATAGCACATGACATAATGTGCTTAGTGTCTGGGTGCACCCAATAACTTACACTCTTGGGAACTAAATGGCAAAAAGGTGCATTATTTTATTAGTGTTTTGGTGGAGTCAAGGTGGTTTAATCTTAAACACAACATTGTACTTTAATAGGAAAATCACGCAATATATCATCTTCTATTTTGTCCTAGCTAGGTCATAAAGAATGACTAAACTTAAAATTAAAGTTTGATTGGACCTTTGATTAGACGTCATATTTAATACATTATATTCATTTGAATTGGCCCCCTAAACTTTTAAGCACCACTAATCAAATCCCATCAACTTTGAGCTCATTTTAGTCCATATTCAAATAATTCAATAACGTAATTTGAACTTTAAACCTTTTATACAGAAGTATTACAATAATTTGTTGTTATAAAGTATATGTATATTTTTATTCATTTAATCAGCCATAATTATTGGTTTATATATACACTGGTGTTGTAATTATAAGAGTAAATTTCAATTTTAATTTGTAATATTCAATTCCTTTTTTTTTTTTTTTTTTTTTACTTTTGATTTTTGATCAAGTTCAAATTCTGTTCTCGACTATTAAATATGTGTCATAATTTTTTTTAATAAATAATAGTTAGGATCAAATTTGGTCAATTTTGATTTTTGAATTCCATAATCAAAACAAAAAATGCATAATAGTTGAATTATAGTACTAAAATTAACACAAGTTGTAATTTTTTTTGTTAGATAACGAGGTGTACTGATATGCCTTAACAGCTTAACTATAGCATGCACATTTAAATTCGTACCATACTTAGACTAATTTTCGCCTGTACTGAGCCGACATCTCTTAAGGAATGAGACTACACGACCGCTCACGCAAATCAAGCTGGTTAGTTCTATTTGTAATTACTATATTGAATTAAAGAGTAATAGGTTACACACACACATATGTATGTATGTATGTATCTATGTATGCATATGAGATCAAATCAAAACCGTTGGGTTGTCCAGTAAAAATTGCAAATTTATCATGATCGTTGATCTAGGAATGATTAACTATTCACAAGAAATGAAATATGAAAAAAAAAAAAAAAAAAAAACAGTGACATTTTAGTGATTATCTCAATTCTAAAGTGCATTGATTAACACTACAAAATGCATGAGTAAAATTACAAAGTGCATTAAACAATAATACAAAGTGCGCTCAATGATATATAAAGTACAACTTCTTGATGTATTATTTTGACATATTATTGGATGCACTTTATAGTGTTGGATGATGCAGTTCAAAATTTCTAATATATATTTACAAAAAATGACAATCCATTTATATATATATATATATATATATATATATATATATATATATATATAATCAGGTTCCTGTGAGAACAGTTCTTTCCGTGCGATCAGTGCGGCATACACCATTAGGTATGCATAAATGCACCACACAGTGTTCGAAAATACACCATTATGTGTGGTGCATTTTTTTATGTGGTGCATTTTTTGACATTTCATTCTGCATGTGTATTCTCAAACAGCGTATGGTGCATTTATGCATACCTATTGGTGTATGCCACACTGACCGTACGGAAAAACATGTTTTCACAGGAACCAATATATATATATATATATATATATATATATATATATATATATATATATATATATATATATATTGTTAGTAATATATTTATTGTTAGTAATTTGTTATATATATATATATATATATATATATATATATATATATATATATATTGTTAGTAATTTGCAAAGTATTAGCTAGGTGAAGAATTGAAGCTAGCTAGGTGATTGTTAAAATATTGTAATTGCAATAATATCATATCATTCTCTCAATAGAATAATGCTAATACCTTGTATATGTTCCTAAGGAAATATTATTGTGACCGACAATGGGCTCGAAGGGTGCCATTAATGGAGGCGACAAGCCGTTGATTCCTACTGATATTTGCAGGTGTTTGTCTCTATCTATCTCTCTCTCTCTCTCTCTTCCCGCCCTCAGCTCCATGTTTCTTCATTCACTCTATCTTATTTTTACACTTAATTTCTATTTGTGGGTGCAGGAAAGAGTAAAGCTTAATCACCACTCCATATATATAATGCAACACACACCACCATTTTTTCACTTGCAAACTAAACTTCTTCTTCAACTTCGATCTTCTAAAATTTTCCTAACACTCATTTCTAGATTTCCATGAAATTAAACCCATCCCAAATTAAAGCATATATAATTCCTCATCAGTAAGACTTTCGCCATGAGTTATGAACCTAACACAACCCTTAACCTTAGTTTATCCAACAACAATGAGTTGAAGCAGCGGCGGGGTTCTCCGTCGCCGGCGGCGTTGATCCCAGCGGAGCCGCCGCGAGTGTTCTCGTGCAACTATTGCCGGAGGAAATTCTATAGCTCACAAGCCCTGGGTGGCCACCAAAACGCTCACAAGCTGGAGAGAACCCTAGCGAAGAAGAGCCGGGAGATGAGCTTAGCAGTCCGGCCGCCGGCCGCCGGAGCTACTGGGCCTAGTAGCCCCTCGTTTTTTGGCTATGCAGCTAGGCTTGGGACTGATGATGATGATGATGATGGAATGAGGGGAATGGTTTATGGGTCTTCTAGAAATAATGAAAATAATGGTCAAGAGGATTTTACTCAACTTGACTTGTCTCTTAGGCTTTGATCCATCATTCTTGAATTGAAATTATTAAATTTTGAGATTTCATCTCATTTCAATCTCGATTCTCATGCATGATCTATCGATAATATATGTGTTAGCTACAATATTATATATATTATATTGTTATAGGCTATTTGTAGCAAACTTTAAGTGTTTGTTTACGAAATTAAAATATTGTATTTTTCTCCAACGCAAAATTTTCAATTCTTTCACTTTTCATTGAAGTTTGGAACCTTGTAATGTAATGGGTCCTCATGATCTTATCTTCTGGAGAAACATAGTTGAGGGCGGCATTTTTAACTTTATTATTGCGTTTTAGGTTTAGTACATCATTCATTATGTGGTAGGCAAAGGAATAATTTGGAATAGTTTAGTGGGCAAATTCCTTGTGCATACCGACATTTGGCTATGTCTGTTGGACCATTGAATCACCGTAATTTACATCATCCTAAATACTCTGTCGGGTTGGAAATTCAACATTTTGTGAGAAAAATAAAAGTGAAGGAGTAAAAATTATTTTGCTTTTTTGGTGTTTTAGAATTTGGAATAGTTTAATGATAAACGTACAGGTCAAGTACATACAAATTTCTCTGGAGCTAAATTGCTTGTTTTCGATTACATTTTGAAACTATTGTTGGAATAATAAGTTCGGTCCAAATGAACAGGATTGCGCACGCAATGGATTAGAAAGGATCAGAGTTGGTTTACCCAATCCACGGAGTCGATTTGAGCCGCTACGTGAAGATAAATGATTACATTTTTTGTGAAGTCTTATAACCTTAGCTAACAAAGGGTCACAAGTAATTAAATCAACCTACGTTATCCAATAGGCTATTGATACTAGGGAAGAAAAAGTCTAGAAGAGGAAGGGGGTTAAATAGAGTTTTTAAAATTTTAACTTACATACATTCCTCTACCAAAGTAGTTCCTTCTACGAGTATATCTACATCCTCTATAACCACCGTTGTCATTAATTACGTACCTCCTTTAATTTTGGTGTTACTTGAGACCGATCGAGCTCTACTTAGGGATGAAAATGACAATTTATTTTGTGGACCTAGGTCAAAAAATACACAATTTATATACTGAATGTTTACATACTGAATGTTCATAATTTTATATACTAAATGTTCACAATTCAAATTGTGAACATTCGTATGTAAATTTTAAACATTCAATATATAAATTGTGTATTTTGGACTCGAGTCCACATTGCAAGATGGATCAAGGTCCATGGCATAATTATTGGATGAAAATAGGTCAAAACGAGTTAGACTTTAGAAAATTAGGTATGGGTTTAATTTGCAATAGAATACAAAGGTTTGGGCCTGGATGCAGACTATTTTTTGGCCTTCAAGTTTGAGACTACAATTGGTTTAAAGTTTGTTTAAAAACTCATTTAATATGTAGTATAGGCCATTAAAATTTTTAAAATATATATATACCTAATACTCTTTGTGTCTCGGAAAAAAAATTAGTGACAATGGTCACCAAAAAATGAGATTTATGAATTTACTTACACAACAGTCAAGAATCGCAGTCTCGTCGTCGCAAGGGAGAAATTGAGATAAGACATACAAATTTACAAAATTAGTATTAGAATTGATAATTTGGGGGATTAGGGTTTTATGTAAATGGTATATATACTTGGGGTTATATATATATATATATATATATATATATATATATATATATATATATATATATATATATATATAGAAGAACGCTCATATGTGGTCATGTCATTAGGTGTGGCGGTGTGGTCGTATCTGTGTCGTTGAATCAGTTTAATCTAACGGCAGTGGTAATTCTGATGATTTTCGCGTGTTTTGGTAAGTAGGGGTGTTATGGTAATTACAGTGGCCATTTATAGCGTGCGGGTTCTAGAATACACCAACAGTGTTGATAACATGCACCAATAGCGAAATAAAACACACCACAGTGAAACACACCAATAGTGTATTCTCGTGTTATGGTAATTACAATGGTCATTTATAACGGCCGGGTTTCATAATACACCAACAGTGTTGCCAACATGCACCAATAGTGTAATAAAACACACAACAATGTGATTTTCTTTATTCCGGTGCTTTATGACGAGTTTACTGTTGCAGTTCGCTGGGTAGGAGAATGTGCACGAAAATACTGGAAGAATCTTGATTAATATGATTCGTTGGATCTATCTAATCTAATGGCCTATAATTGACCATATGACTACACCTAACAACATGGCCACATGTGATCACCCCTATATATATATATATATATATATATATATATATATATATATATATATATATATATATATATATATATATATATATATATATATATATGGAAGGGATCAGGTGCATTTGTTGCTTCCCGTGCGGATGTGCAGTGGATTAATGTGCGTGAGGTTTACACTTAATGTGCGTGAGTGTTATGCTTAATGTGCATGAGATTTGTACTTAATGTGCGTGATGTTAATATGCGTGAGTTTTGTACTTAATGTGCCTGAGTATTGTGTTTAATGTGCGTGAGATTTGTGCTTAATGTGCGTGAGTATTTCAGAATTACAAGCTCAGAAGGAAGCAGAACAGAAACTCACGCACATTAACGCCAGAGAGAGAGATCGAATATCACAACTGAAAATGTACCTCTGGACGAAGTAGACGATCTATTTCAACGAACAGTTCTAACATCCCGTATCTGCTGTGGCTGTTTTGACTAAACTCGAGTGTTAGAAGTCCATCAGCATGGACAAGATCATAAGTTCTTGGATACGTTGGAAATGCTTCGCACCTGCAAAGGTTTACACGACGAATCCCCTGTCAAGGATTAGGGGGAGGAAATTCTGAGCACTAGTTGGGATCACATTCATGACCCACACTGATTTTCCTGCTTCCAATAAAGCAGCATTGAAACCATCAAAACGGGCGATCATGTCTAAGACATTCCTAAGCATGTTGTAGGGGGGGGAAGGATCTCATCCATATTTTCTGCTGCATTTTACACATTCACGCACTTTAAGTACAAATCTCAGACACATTAAGCACAACACTCACGCACATTGAGTACAAATCTCACGCACATTAATCCACCGCACATCCGCACGGGAACCTTTCAATATATATATATATATATATATATATATATATATATATATATATATATATATATATATATATATATATATATATTATATATATATATATATATATATATATATATATGCAGAACATAGGAAGATGTATGAATATGATATGTATACTCAAAGTCTTATCTACTCGCAAAATTCGACGAAGAAGAAAACGTTGAATTGAAGAATGCATGAAGATACCTTGGAGACCAAATACTTGTGAAAAGAAAGGAGTACATAAAAAAGAATGGCATATTGACCAAAAGGTCGTGCGCATGGAGTGGTTAAAAGCCTTATTAACTCTGTGAGATGAAGTTGGGCGACCGAATGAAATCAATAAGATGTGATCACAATGATATTGAATATTGGGTAGTGATTTCAATTAAAAGGATATGAAGTTTGGGTAGCAATTGCAATGGGATGCGATTGCAAGGAGATGAAGTTTGGGTAGCAATTTCAATGGGATGAGATTGCAAGGAGATGAAGTTTGGGTAGCAATTGCAATGGGATGCGATTGCAAGGAGATGAAGTTTGGGTGGCAATTGCAATGGGATGCGATTGCAAGGAGATGAAGTTTGGGTAGCAATTGCAATGGGATGCAATTGCAAGGAGATGAAGTTTGGAAGTTTGGGTAGCAATTGTAATGGGATGCAATTGCAAGGAGATGAAGTTTGGATAGCAATTGTAAGGAGTTGCAATGGGATGCGATTGCAAGAAGATGAAGTTTGGGTAGCAATTGTAATGGGATGCGATTGCAAGGAGATGCAGTTTGGGTAGCAATTGCAATGAGATGTGATTGCAAGGAGATGAAGTTTGGGTAGCAATTGCAAATGGGTAGAAATTGGTATTGGGAAACAATTTCAAAATTGAAATAAGGAAAAGTATTGAGCAGCAATTACAATTGGAATGAGATGATGGATTAAGCAGCAAGTTTGGGTAGCATTTGTAAAGGAAAGAAATTGAATTAGAGCAGAGATTGCAATTGGCAGAGATTTCAATTCCATGAGATAAAATTACAATGGGCAAAGATTCTAAGTCTTTGGGTGACAATTTCAAGTCTATGGGATGAGATTGCAAGTCAATACTCATTGGGATGAGATTGCAAGTCTTTGGGATAAGATTGCAAGTCAAGATTCTTTGGGATGAGATTGCAAGTCAAGATTCTTTGGGATGAGATTGCAAAGTCAAGATTCCTTGGGATGAGATTTCAAGTCAAAAATGCTTGGGATGAAATTTGTCTTGGGCTAAGATTTGAAGAATTAATTCATGAGTATCAATTGAGACTCAATTGAAGATGAAATATAACAGATTAAATCAAGAGATCACATTGGCTAATGGAATTAATTCAGGGATACAATTTAACGTCAGTATCCGAAATATACCAAAAGAAGTATGAGCTGAAGTTATAAAGGGAAAGTGATTAGTCCAAAATAGAAAGAGACTAGATTGGAGCACAATTTTGAAGATTAAATTCACAGAAGGCGTGATCTACAACAGATATATTTTGGGAGCCTATTTGCGTGAACTTGGAGCTCAAAGAAGATGACTGAATATTTTCTGACACAGTATCAAAGATAAGATAAGGATTTCTGAAAAGGCAACAAGACTAGCTGACAGATTTCAAATTTGAGATTGTCTTTTTTCAACGGACAAATTCTCAAAACACTTATATAAGGATGAAGATTTGAAGATTGAAGCAGAGAGTTCAAAGGGTCGAGAAATACGAACAAGTGTTATATTCAAAATATTCAAGTGAGAAAATACACAAGTGCTCAGAAGCTTAAAAAGAAATAGCAAGAGGGCTAAAATCTTCATCACCAAGAGACTTGCTACATATTGAAGAATCCATCAACGAAGTCTCAAAGTTTGAAGCAAGAGAAACTTGCTTTTCTACAAACAAGTGAAGTCCCTACAAGAGTGTAGGGAGAAGGTTGTCACACGGAGTTGTGAGATCTTCGTTGAAGTTTTACCGGAGCGTAGAAAGGGAGGAAAGTAGCACGGAGTTGTGAAATCCTGGGAAAGTAGCAGTTGCAGTGTTGTAGGCACTGGGTTAGGCGTGATTAGTGTAGGCTTGGTGATCAAAACACCAGATCACGGAATTCATTGTATCTTGGAACCAAGAAGTGGTGGATACATTGGATTGCTCTTGGAGATAAGAGCAAGTGGAGTAGGAGGATTACATCACCTCCGAACCACTCTAAATTTCCTTTGTTCTTTACTGCTACTTGCTTGCTTCTCACGTGATATTCACTTGACACAATCACAGCACTTATTTTATTATTCCGTTGTGCACAAGACTCTAACAATCGATTAAGAGTTTTGATTTCTATGTTGCCTTTGCAATTGTTGTATTTGGCAAAATCGGTATAAAAGTCTATTCACCCCCTTAGACTTTTACCTCACATCTTTTGGGACCAACACACACACACACACACACACACACACACACACACACACACACACACACACACACACACACACACACACACACACACATATATATATATATATATATATATATATATATATATATATATATATATATATATATATATATATATATATATACTTGTTCAAATGTGGACAGTGCTTCCCGTGCGACCGGTGCGGATTCACTATTAGGAATGCATAAATGTACTACACATTGTTCTAAAATGCATCAATGCACAACAGAATGCACCACACTTCAAAAAATACACTGCACCGCACCGCACCACACATAATGGTGCATTTTCTGAACAATTTTGTGGTGCATTTATGTGTACCTAATGGTGAGTGATTGTACGGCCGCACGGGAAGCACTATCCGCATGTGAATCTGACTATATATATATATATATATATATATATATATATATATATATATATATATGAAAAATTGACAATGTTATTATAGTCAAAGATTAAAATTGAAATTTCTAATTAAAAACAGAAAACAAACTTTTTTTTTGGATCCTAGGGAGGGGTGGTACCCGGGAACTAGTTACACCTGGCGCCACGAAGGGGCGCCCAATAGATCGTTATCAAGAGTATCTAGAATTTCAATACATGGGGGACTGAAGTATACTTGTCCCCCTACCCATTGTACTGGCCTTACGAGCAAGAATATCTGCGACTTTATTTTGCTCTCTCCGAACACATTCAATCTTCCAGCTTTGTATGGTACTGACTTCTTTTTTGCAGGCAGCTAATATGTTATCAACTGCACTTTCATAGCCTCTATTATTGCAGAAGCCTTCCATGATGTCGGAGGAATCAGTCTCAAAGATAACTTGATCAAAATCGCAGGCCTTAACAAGTTGGATGCTCCTTAAGAGAGCCCAAGCTTCTGCCATTCTGGGAGAGCATACCCCTATGCCATGCATAAAACCTATGATCCATTCACCGTTTGTGTTTCGAATAAAACCGCCACAACCTGCATTCCCATTCTCGGGAATGGAGCTTCCATCTATATTGAACTTAAGCCAGCCGACTTGCGGTTTTAGCCATTTAACTTGCTTCCATGATCTAGACTCTGGCGATACCCAAAGTAATTTAGCTTTTCGAAACGCTTCATCAATATCACTGACCTGATTTGTTATCCACTTAATCTTTGCGTGAAAGTCAATCGAGGTATCTGAGAATACGAAGTCATTCCTCCACTTCCATAACCACCAAGCTGTGACAGCGAAAGTGACACTCTGGATGTGTTTTCGATATCTTCTGGGCAGTGTCTGCAAAGCTTGCATGATGTGTCACTAGTGAAACCACGCTTAGCTCTGTTCGAATTAGTCATGAGTCTATCATGCTTTGCAAGCCAAAGAAAAGTACGTATACGATATGGGACCTTTAATTTCCATATAGAGCTCCAGGTTTTATCATTGCTTCTTGTGGTAGAATTAGCCACAATCTCGTATGCTGAGCTAACAGAGAAAGGGTCAGGATTAATTAGACCCCAACCATTAGAATCTTCTAAATCTGGTTCTGCATGAAGAATGACTGCTGCTATTGAGTTTAAAATCCCTTCTGGTAAGAGATTAGAGAATTTATTCCAACGCCATCCAATAATGGGATCCCAGTAGTCAGAAACTTTGACATGAAAATCAGCTAGTGTAGGACCTGAAGCAACTTGATATAAAGGTTGGTGACCAATCCATGAATCTAACCAAAATAATGTGGAATTTCCATTCCTCACTGATTTCTTAACACCCTTGATTAGAGTAGGGGTAGCACTGAGAATGCCTTTCCAAGCATTAGACATACTTGCTTTTGCTTTCCAAGAGTGAGGATCACAGCTCCCATTGGTGTACTTTACTTTCATTATTCTCACCCAGAGGCTGTCTTCATCATTCAACAACTTCCAGCTAAGTTTTGAAAGGAAAGCTTGATTCATATGATCTAACCTTCGAATGCCAAGACCCCCGTGATCCTTACTCTGCGCGATTGTCTTCCAGTTCACGAGGCTAGTCCTGTGATCACTATCCGTAGAGCCCCAGAGGAATTTCCTTGATGTTTTCTCTAAATTCTCTATAACTCCGCGGGGAAGGAGGGTTGACTGCATTGTATAACAAGGAATTGCAGAAAGTACAGATTGGATTAGTGTTGCTCTGCCTGCTAGAGAAAGCATTCTTGTCTTCCAGCCGGCGAGCCTACTTTGAACTCTTGAAATAATACTTGCAAAAGACTCTTGTTTAAGTCTTCCATGTATAAAAGGGACTCCTAAATACCGACCAAGATCGTTAACAATCGGAATACCCAGAGAACTGCTAATAGCCTGTTGTATTTCCACACTTGTGTTTTTTGAGAAATACAATGAAGATTTCATATAGCTTACTCGTTGGCCGGATAACTTGCAGAATTCCTCTAAGCATTTCTTAGTAACTGAAGCTTGATGTAGTGAAGTTTCTCCAAAGAAAACTAGATCATCTGCGAAAAAAAGGTGGCTAATACATGGTCCATTCCTTGTAAACTTCATGCCCTTCCAATTGCCCTCATTAACAGCTTGCTCAATTAGATGGCTTAATCTTTCTATACAAAGAACAAAGAGAAGAGGAGACATTGGATCCCCTTGACGAATACCACGTTCCGGTTTAAACCATTGAGAAAGCTTCCCATTAACACAGACTGCCAGTGTCGGAGTAGTAACACACTGCATGATGTTCCTGATCCATTCATGGTTAAAACCTGCACTCTGGAGAGTAGATTGTATAAACTCCCAAGATAGCCTATCATAGGTTTTTTTCCAAATCAATCTTGATTACCATTATGCCTTCCTTTCCACGCTTGAGTCTCGTGGAATTTAAAGCCTCTTGATATACCAGAATATTATCGACAATTTGTCTTCCCGGGACAAAACTTGTTTGATGAGGCCCGATCAACTTACGAATTGCAGTTTTGAGCCTCGTTGTCATTGCTTTAGTCAGCACTTTGTAGGCAACATTGCACAAGCCGATTGGCCGGAATTGATTAACAAATTCCGGGTTAGGAACTTTCGGAAGCAATGAGATCACAGTGTCATTGCAACCCTCCGGGAGATAACCAGTTGAGAAGAAATTCAAAGCAAACTTCGTAGTAGCTTCGTTGACAGTACACCAAGTTTTTTGATAGAAACGGCTTGATAGCCATCTGGACCAGGTGCTTTGAAAGGGGCCATGTCAAAAACTGCTCGTTGAATGTCCTCTGCTGAGAAAGGCCTATTAATAACTTGTTAGTCTGAAGTTTGCAGCTCTGGGAACCGTTCTCCGGACAGGTCATCCTCCATTGGTTCAATGTCTTTATAATATAATTTGATATAGAAGGAACGGATGAGATCCATAATCTCTGTAGAGTCTGAGATCTATTCCCCAGTGTCATCCTTAAGCCTTTTGATAATCCAGGTAGATCTGCGAACTGTTGTTGCTGCGTGGTAGAAGCGTGTATTACGGTCACCAGATGTGATCCATTCTTCGCGTGATCTTTGAAACCAGAGCAGCTCCTCTTGGTGCAAAATTTCATTGAGTTCTTGTCGTAGTTTGCGGTCGAGACTGATCAGATTAGCTCTTTGCTGGATTGCTAAGCAACGCTGAACTCCACTAAGTCTTGCAAGAACACACCTCTTTCTTTGGTGGATGTTTCCAAAGACTTGCTTGTTCCATTCTCCAAGCTGTTTCGTCAAGGCCTTCAGGTTATGGTCCAGGTCTACTTTTGGATTCCAGTTGCGCAAAACACAATTCTGGTAGTCAGGGTGAGAACACCAAGCTGCATTGAAGCGAAACTATTTGGTTTGAACGTTGTGAGAAGCTGAAGACCAACTAAGAAGCAAAGGGGCATGATCTGAATTGATTATTGGCAGGTGCTTCACTTCTGCTTCTGAAAATCTGAGCCTCCACTCAATATTGCATAAGGCACGATCAAGTCTTGCCCCCTTAAAATTTGGTGAATTCAAGCCCCGCATCCATGTAAACTTGGGACCTGAGAATCCGAGATCTATTAGGCCTTGTCTTGATATCCAATCCTGAAAATCAGCACAGCGAGACAAGGCATATGAATCAGTACTACTAGTTTCTTCACGATCTAAAACAGAATTATAATCTCCTAAAGAAACCCAAGCACCCTGAAAGATTAGTTTCTTCTGAGAAAGGTCAGCAAATAACTTCTTTCTAAGAGCATGACTAGGACTACCATAAACTATATATAGGATCCATGGGGTTCCATTGTCTGATTTTACTTGAAGAAGAGCAAATTGGGGGTGGGTGTAGAGCACATCAATGGTGATTGTGTTTTTCCAGAAAACCCAAATGCCCCATGAGAAGCCAACTGCTTCAATTCTAAGCCACTCATCAAAAAACGCGCCATCGTTACTTATAATGTTGAGTAAACCATGTTATGTGACCTAGCCAAAAAAAAAAACAAAAAAAAAAAAACAAAAAATAAAGAAACAAACTTATTGATCTTTATAACTCTGACGATTTAAATTCAGAGTGAACCATAGTTACCTCGCACCTGATCTCTGCAACGAGTCATCTTTTCAAGGCTTCACAAAGCAGTCAAAGCTCCCCGGCTATGGAGTAAATAACCTACCCCCTTCCCCAGCATCATACACAAATATAAGCTCAAATATATGCATCTCTGATCCGATCTCAATTTGGGTGTTGAATTCAATCTAGATCTGAACCAGATCACTCGAAGTACAAACCCTAATAATGTCTTGTTTGGGACTTTCCCTTCAACCCACCAACGGCCCCGACATCCTCCTCCAAACCCGAGAATGGTTTCCTCCATCTCGTGCCCTAATGGCCCTCTCCGCCTTCCGCCAGACCCGTTTAGCCTTCTCCAAGCATGCTCAACCGGCCTCCGCTATGTCCTCACCGGACCCCACGCACTCCGATGCCCTCGGCGACGATCCTCTCGCCGCATCTTCCGGTCAGGTAATTGTTGGCGTGGAATCCCGGTATCGTGTTGTTTATCGACTTGTTAATTCCATTTATGTGCTTGCTATTACCACTGCTGATGAGAATGATAAGGATCGAATTGTGAATAATGTGTTTGAGTGTATTAGCATTGTGAATCAAGCGGTTTCGGTTGTAGTAACTGCTTGTAGGGGTGTGGATGTGACCCCTGAAAAGCTTGGTAAGAAATACGCTGAGATCTATATGGCTTTGGATATAGTTTTGAGAGGGGTTAGTAACATCAGGCTTGCAGCGATGCTGGCCTCGATGCACGGGGATAGCATTGCCAAAATGGTGCATTCTGCTGTGAATACGGAGAGTAAGATTAGGGGAGCTGATAATTGGGCAAGTTTGGAAGGTCACTCTGTGGAGCATGAGGCTGGGGTAGAATCGTTTTCGAAAGCGATATTTGAGTTGCCTCCCGAGACACTGGAGGCCGGGGATGAAGTTGCTGCCACATTGGTGATCACGGGTGGGGAAAAGGAGGAGGAGAAGGAGAAGGTGGAGGAGAGTGAGGAGAAGGATCCATTTGCAGCAAGTGATAGGATTAATAAACCAGAGTCATTGGTGGGCGAGTTTAAGAAGGATAAGGATAAAGATAATTCTGATGTGACGAAAGCGTTGGCTGGGCTTGAGGTGACTACACTGCCACCTGCTGCAGCTAGTCAGTCAACACACATTGGTGTTGAAGGGTTTGAAGGGGATTATGGTGGGATAGAGTTTAGTAATGATGGATCAACACTGAGAGAGGATTTCGAAGGGATTAATGATGCGTGGGGTGGTGGATTGGATGCCTCAGAGTATGTGGGAACAAAGAAAATTAAGAAAGATCAAGGGCTTGGTGGGCTTGAGTTATTGGCAACTAGTGAGCCTCCTAAAACTGAAGCTGGAGCTCCTGCTGAGGGTGATGCTGGCAAGAATCTTGAGGACATTTTGGTGAAGAAGATGAAGGGTCCGGAGATGTACATTACAGAAGAGATCAGTGCAGAGTTTAGGGAGTCATTGCTTTCTAGAGTTGGATTGATGGGCACTATCTACTTAAAGACAATGCCGCCTCAAAAACCATCTGATGACAAAGAAACTGAGTTTTCATTCAAGGTTGATGGGACTGGTGGAGTTAAGAGATTTGTTATGCAAAACTCCCTAGTGAGTAGCCTTGGAAATGGGATGTTTCATGTGAAGACTACACCTTCGAATGAGCCTATTCCAATTATCAAGTACAGCTTGCTACCACGCTTAACACCATTGCCTTTGAGGGTTCGTCTTGTTCAACGCCTCAGTGGAACATTACTCTCTGTGATGCTGCAGTATGTGTCAAACCCAGATCTGCCAGCTCCTTTAACTAATGTGACTTTTGTTCTGAAGCTTCCTGTGGATCCAACCTTAGTAAAGGTTTCCCCAAAAGCTGTACTGAACAGGTCTGAGAAAGAACTAAAATGGCATATAGAAGAGATCCCACTGAAGGGCAATCCTGGTAGGTTGAGGGCTAGGTTTCCAGTGGATATTAGTGATGAAGATAATATTGAAGAACTTGAGGTCGTTGGTTTTGTAAAGTTTTCTAAGCAAGGAGCTAGATCATTGTCAGGCATCTCTTTGCTGCCTGCAATTGAGGGTAAGACAGACTTTTATGAGGTCGATCACAGGTATGCAAGTGGGAATTACATTTGCAACTAAACATTCATTTTGTTCTTTGTTTACAAATTGTATGTCCTCTTGTTTTTATTTTCTTCACAATGAGGTTTTGATTTGAAAATACTTGTAGGTCTATTTGAGTGTGACATGTAACAAAGACAAATTCTTCTATTTGGTGTGTGTTTAAATTTGTCTGGCTTTTAGCTTATGTTATGGACTTATGGTGAACAAACTTTGCACAAATTCTGTTATAGTTCTTGCATCCAAAATCTTGGAACTTGGCATCTATACTTTTTTTTTTTTTTTGGTTTGCATTAGTATAGTTTCTTCTGGCTTTCTGCTGCAACTTAAATGTTCACCAAATTATGACCAAACACACTGGTTTTGTTTTACTGCTGGACTGCCTGTGGCCTATGTATGATTAAAAAAAAAAAAAAAAATGTAATTTATGCCCCTCCATAATATGCCAATTATCAATTTCACCCCTGAATTATTAGTGGTGTAAATGTTGCCCCTCAATTTTCAAAACGGTACATATAGTGCCCTCCCGTAGTGTAAACGGTACATATATTGTACGGTACGGGAGGAGCAATATATGTACCGTTTTGAAAATTGATGGGCAACAACATTTACACCACTAATAATTCAAGGTGACATTAATAATTGGCATATTATGCAGGGGCATAAATTACAATTTTCCCAAAAAAAAATTATTATTGGAAGAGAATGAGTTCTGTACTTCTGTAGGCTTCTCCAATGCTCCTGAAAAGATAGGGCATGTCTTCTTTAAGAATTATTTATGTAAATGGAGCACTAGAAACTTTAGGAAGGTATGTTTCTGAATGTTATATTTGGGGTTCAAATGTTCAATAGCAAATCTCTCTGGTTGTTAGCTTTGAGTTGGGAAGGTTGTCTGTAAAGAGTAATCTTTGGCAGCTTCTTGGTACATAATTTTATAGCATGTTGCTTGGAGTTGGGTAGTTGTTTCTTTCATTAGAAAATTGAGTAGGTCAAGGAAATAGGTATGATTTGTTATGGTTTTATTGGACTAGACCTATCATAAAACTTAGTATAGAAAAGTTAATAAATGGTACATGGCCTTGGCCCCTTAGGACACCCCTATTTAGGGATGATCACGGTTCGGTTTGAATTGAACCGTGTAGGTAGGAATTGCCGCCCTTGCAAGAGTATGGGCCAGCAAATTCGCTGATCGACGAACAAAGTGGAAGGACACATTATCAAAGTGCATAGCAATGGCTCGACATCCCACAATAATGCAACCTGCATAAGATAAGTCCTTGGATGTTGAGTTGAGCACATGACAGACATTCAAACAATCCATCTCTACCTGTACATTCCGCCACCCTTCAGAGTTCATCCATGATAATGCTTCTCTAACCGCGAGAGCTTTAGCCGTGTGAGCATGCCTTCACATATATCAGCAAAAACTGCAGCATCAACTTAGCATATGAGTTATGACCCCATTTTCTGGCAAATCTCCAGCAAAATTAAAGTTAGGATTATTACCAACCTGAGCATCAAGAAAACTACCAGTGCGGTAATATCTGGCTTTCAAAAGTCTAGCAGCCACCGAAGTCTCATTATTAAGAAGACGCCATCATATTTTTCATTCCAATTAAGGACTAAAGTTTTAAAAAATTGTCAAAAGGAAAAGCATCAAGGGAAAAATTAGAAAGAAAATGTAAATGTACAAAAAAATAAAAGAAAATAATAATAATACTAATAAAAACTCTTGATACAACTTATATACTATCAACAAAATCTTATTTTAGTTAGAAAAAAAAATTGTAATTTATGTCTCCCACAAGCATGTCAATTATCAATGTCATCCCTGAATTATTAGTGGGGTGTAAGTGTTGCTCCTCAATTTTCAAAACATGACATATATAGCCTCTCCCCTAATAGGAAGAAGGAAAAACATGTTATTGACAAAAGGAGAACAAACAAAGAAAGAAAAATTGAGAAAAAATGTGGTCTTCGAACATGCCAGGAAAACGGCGGGTAACCACATTTACACCACTAATAATCAGGGGAAGGATAATATATGTCACGTTTTAAAAATTGAGGGACAACATTTACATCACTAATAATTCATAAATGACATTAATAATTGACATATTTGTAAGAGACATAAATTACAATTTTCCCTTTTAGTTAAAAACTAACCATTAACTTTTATTAAGTTTTAGAAATATGATTGCATCGTCCTCTTGCTTTCAAGAGTTCTAATGATACAATTGTTTTGATTTAAGAAAAACTTTAGGATGAGTCTCCTGTGAGAATCAAAATATAATATTTAGGGGCTGAATATTTACTTATGAGAAAAAGTGTAATACTCCGTACTATTTATTGATAACTTGATTGTTTTTACCTATAAAAGAACAAGTACATGTAATAATTATGAGTAATACTAGTCATTGATATATTGATTGAAAAATATATTTTTTTTTTAAAGTTACAAATAACATCAGTACATTGCTAATTACAGTTTCCAATTGGATGTAATCCTTTTTCGCATATTACCTGTTAGTTGTTATTATAGATGCTGAGATTGTTGATTTTAAATAAAAAAAAATTAAGAAAAAGGCAGCTTATAGAAAAATGTGATATATTTTCTTCTAATGTTAAATTTTAATACTTAGATAGTAAAGTAAATTTCATTAATTTTGAGTTTAATATTTAAAAGTGAAAATTCGTAATATATACTTCAAAAATCAAAACTAGAATTAGCCTTATAAATTATGTACAAAAATGTGGTGAATAACTTGGCTGTAACATCTGATGGAAAAATGCATTTGGAAACTAGTGGTGGCCTAAGATTTTCCGGCAACAGATGTAACACAATTAACGATTTGATAATTATGCGATAAAAACGAGAAAACTTGCTTACTTTTTACTATATATAATCTCTTTTCTTTTTCCTAAATGTTATCAAAATGACGTGACCTAAACCCTATTAAAGTTACTTACTATTTACCACCTTCCTTCCTTGTGTGAGAGGTGATAGGTTCAAACTTCAGATAAAATAGATGGCTCAAATAACAGACATTAATTTGTAAATTATAATATATATATATATATATATATATATATATATATATATATATATATATATTAATCTTTCTTTTGTGAGCAAACTAGTTTCCTGACAATCTTTTAATATTTTTCAATAATCTAATATGTTTGTTTTTTGTGATCTCTTGTTGCAACTTGAAAATTGAAAATGCAATTCTAGTAGAATCACTATTATTTTTTAAAAAAGAAAATGGAAATTACATATATATATATATATATATATATATATATATATATATATATATATATATATATATGAATTGAAAGTGCTTATAGATTAAAGACTCATTCAAACTCATCGACATGAAAACAACAAAGTGCGTACTTAAATTCGTAATATTTATTTCGACCACTAATATTCAGTAAATTTGAAAATCAAAACAATTTTGAAGTTTTAGCTACACTCCATTGACAAACAAAAAATGTATCTATCAACCTCAACGATTAATTATTTATTTAATACAAAATAATATAAATAAAAAATGACTAAGGTGTCCCTCAATAATTTGGAAATTTAAAATACATTATTAATATTAACATAATTTGTTAGTAGTTAACTAAAACAACACTTTACACATAATTAAAGGAAAAATTTTGTGTGTGATAATAATTCATGGATTGAATTTACATTATAATTATAATTAATGAACTAAAACTGTCATTTTCAATTATTATTATTATTAATATTATTATTGGGTATTATTATTATTATTATTATTTGCCGTGGGGAGCAGTCTACGTCGAAACCACCGGCATTATCTAGACCATAAAGTTAGACACCTCCAAATTTTAATGAATAACCGACCGGTACTAAAACAAAGTTTTGATATAATGAATTGTTCCATCCAAAAGCTTCATGTATAATGATTTTGTCTGATTAGCATTCTATGAAAAGCTATAGATCTTTATTTGTGTGGCGGTTCGGATCAATATACAAATATAATATATTAAGGTCCTTTTTTGTAAAATGACTGTTAGCTAATAGTTGTTAGCTGTTAGTTGATTGTGTTAATTAGAGGGTATAAATAGTTGATAACATTAGCTGAAAAGTGTTTGGTAAATTAGCTATTAGCTGATAACTGTTTGGTTCTCAAAAAGCTAATTGAAAAAGTTGTTTGGAGTAGCTTTTTGAATTTTAGCCTTTTAGAGTTGTAAAAAGCTAATTAACCAAACATTTATATTGATATTTTAACTAAATTAAACAATTAATAGTGGTCAAATAAGCAAAAATTGACCTATAGACCAATTTTTTACTAAACAGGACCTAAATATTACATTTTATTTTGACTTAATCCGTTTAATGAACAAAAATATATGAAACGATTTCACATAAATTTTTACCTTATTCCAGAGACTCACAAGAATAGCGGGAAAACGTCAAGAAAATTAAATATTTTGTATTGATTTATAAATGCTACACATGGAAATAAATAAGCAATTGAAAACAATGATAAAAGCCTCGTGATGTCCATTGTTATTGCGGGTCCCACCCGCTCTATAAAAATAGACAAAGCCTTTTGGCATTGAAAAGTAGTAGAAAGGAAAGCATCATCCCTCCCATATATATCATCAACATCAACTATGACATGGCTGACCCCCCAAATTTTAACACACTTCCTTATCTTCTACGTAAAACATTAATCATGGGTATTAATTCACCACATATAATAACTAATGATGAATTGATATGATGCATATGATATTATGCAAAAACTTATATAAAATCGTTTCATGGATCTTTATTTGTGAGACAATTAAATGTGTAAGTATAACAATTGTAGTTATAAATATTATACGAAGTAATATTTATCATCTGTAACCTAATGAAGCACAAAGAGTCAACAACGCCTACACTAGGCTCGATCTTATGACCTCCACCATGAGAGAGGTTACTACATGTCATCTGAGCACAAAGTGCTTGGCCAATTATTGCAAATTTGTTTTCCCTTCTCTCTCCATTTCTCTTCCCTCCAAATCATCATCTCTCACTTCCAACATAGCAAAAAAACCCTCTAAATACCACAAATGGGGTTGCTATTAGTAACGATCAATTTTACCTTAAATAATATCACAATTTCACATATATGTATTACAATATTTTTCATAAGTAACGATTTATTTTTAATTTAAATTGTTATTAATTTTTATACAATAAGTATTACAATTTTTTTTCATAAGTAACATTTCACATATAAGTATTACACTATTTAAATTAGAATTACACTTTGTAAGTATCATAATTTCAGTTATAAGTATTACAATATTTGATAAAGTATATACGGATGCCTCTACGGTCCCGTACGTATGTCTAGGGCTCGAGCTTGGGGTCAGTTAACAGTGGCTCGAACAGTTCCCGGTCAAGCTAAGAGTCAAAAGTCCCCCTCAATGTCATAAATGCGGGTATTTATAGGGAGTGATCTGAGGGGGCGAGATCCGAGTCTCGGCATGTCGGCTGCGTGGCCGTCATGCACCCGCAAGCACTCTGCCCAAGGAGTGCCGCCACGTGGCACAAGCCTTCTGCCGCCACTTCCCAGGATTCCGTCCCGACCGAGGCGGTCGGGACTTTCGCGCGGACCGGTCGGTATCTGACGGAGGCCACGTGCCCTATAGGTCCCGACCAACAGACCGTACGTACAGCGGGTAATAGTCTACCAATATTTATTATTAGTAACAACCATTTTACCCTAAATAAGATCGCAATTTCACATATAAATATTACAATATCTATATCTATTATAAGTAACAATTTATTTACTTCAAATTAGTATTAAATTTTTTGTAATAAGTATTCTAATTTATATCATAAGTAACAAGCAACTATATATCCTAAATTCAATCCGTCTTACAAATTAATATCCGTGAGACGGTCTCACACACGTGTGACTCATGATATTACGGTATCATAACTTATATTTATCGATGAAAATTGTACTAAATAAATTTTCTATTTTATTTTATCTTATTATTCATGTTTATTAATATTCATTAGTCAAACTCTCTTTTTTTTTTTTATTTATCTTCTTTAACATTTTAAAATTAATTTTAGAATTTAGTTTTCTTTTTGTATGTTGAATAATAATTACTCTGTAAATTTAATTTTTAAATATACAAATTTTATATGCTAATACTGAATTAAATATTAAAAGAAAATTAAATTGTAAAAAGTAAAAAGAGTCAAGTGTCATTAATTAAACCAGACACATATAATATATAATATATAATATATAAAGTAGTAAAATTTTATCAACACAATATTTACTCACAATACTGTAAAATTTCTTGATAATTAAGTTTACATTACAAATCTCAAACACTAATGATGATTTCAACGTAACTATGACAAAATTCTCCTCATTTTTCAAGCCTCTATGGTATATACAACTATAGCCAACATGGAAAATTAAGGCAATTAAAACCATTGGCCAAATTAAACTAATCTTTAATAGAATAATTAATGCTAGGCTCACTCCTTTGATTGAATAAGATAAGAACAAGATCGAGGAGAGTGAAAATAACATGGTAATATATTCCATAACTAGTAAAAAGTTAGGAAAATAACACTTTTACCTTTTGAATTATTTCAATTTTGTAAATTTTGTCCATGTTAATCAATTTAAGCAAATTTAATCCCTTAATTATTCATTATGTTGCACTTTCAGTCACTGATATTATATAATTATCAAATTTTATTAACAAACTCTTTTTTATAATATTATTTTGTTATTTAGAATCAATATTCATCGTTAAACTCTCATTCTTTTCATGTGAACGTCATTTTTAACCATGAATATTGTTTCTAAATGATAAAAATAACATCATATGTTAATGAATTTAATAATTATCTAACGTAACATTAGAGACTAAAAGTACAACATTATGAATAATTAAGGGTTAAATTTATTTAAATTAACTTACAAGGGCTAAAATTTTAAAAGTGAAACAATTCAGGTGTCAAAAAGTGTTGTTTTCCGTAAAATTTTTATACTTCAAGTTAATTTTTTAGAGAAGAAACTTCATGCTAGACTTTATCTTTCTTTTTTTTTAAGTAGAAAATTTTTTATTTTTAAGTAGGACACTGTAAAAAACATTTAAATATTAAATATTTTAATTTGGATTTGGCCAATAGTTATAGTTGCCGGCATTCACCTGAAATCATTGGCGATACGCATGCTCGCTAAGCGTGGGATATGCAGTCAAAAGACGACGTCGTTACGGCCACACTCGCATGATCTTTGCAACTCAACATCTTTATGAAATCCCATGAAGATTTCCGTTCATTCCTCATCGACGGCGAGTTCCGGCCTGTTTCCGACGAGCTCCGGTCATCAATATGAAACATTGGGCTAACAGTGCGGCGGACTTGCCGGTTCTTGATATCTCGGAGATCCATCTCCGGTGGGAACTTTACATGCCCAAACATCAGAGCATACCATCTCGGCTTCTGTGGTTTTAGCCCAGCCGCCGAAACATCGGGCTTCGACGACGAGCTCCGATCAACCTCCGACGAACACAAACTTGGATTCCGACGAAGCTTCTTGTAATCTAAAGATCGGCTGCTCCTAGGAAGCTGCCATCTGCCACTCTTTGACCCGCTATTTGTTCGAGGAATCGACAAAGACTCGCATCTCCGGCCATGGAAGCTCTGCAATTTCCGGCCGTCTCCATCCGCACTTCTCTCCGCTTGACCCTTCAAAGCCATGACTTTACCGCAAAAAATTATTTCCTCAGCATGGGATATCTCTGACTGGGATGTGAAATCGCTGAAGAACTCAAAAAGGTCGACGGGATCAGAGGACAATCGGCGATCATGGATTCCACCGTCGTTCTCCGGTGCATCGGTGATCGTTGTTGGGAAATTGTTAAGGGAGATTGTTTCGAGTTCTTCTTCTTCTTCTTCTTCTTCTTGGGAATTATGCTTGTCACTTTCATCCATTTTTAGAGGAAAATAAGAGAGGGAAAAAAGGATGGCAGGTTGGCACTGGCAGGCAATAGGTGTGAGAGGAATTGATTCATTGGATTATAGGAAATATAGATATAGACGTAGGAAGTTGTTTTAGGAGCATCACACGCATGATCAAATGGTTGTACGACATGTTACCTACTGAAATTTAGTAGGCAATTGAAAAACCTTGGAGTAGGCTTCTGATTTCGATCGGTATTCGAGTTACCCTAACTTACTCTAAAAGAAAAATAATATAACAAAAGAAAATGAAGAACTCTTCAATATAATATACGGAGTAATTGATTTCTGCATACCTTTACCTTACATAGAATACCCTATATATATTTAATATACTATCTTCTTAAAATAATACAATTATAACCATGAAGTGACTAATTATTCTCCTAATTATCAATTACACATAAATGCTAATTATATTTCTAATTACATATATAAAGTAATATACATTATTCTTTTGGCAAGATTATCGCCATTCAATGGTGTATCACTCCTTGTCCCTTCGAAAATCACCTTATCCTCAAGGTGGAAGTATAAGTAGTTCCTCTCTTGAGTTCTACCCAACACAAATGTTCAACCCAAATTTTTTATTGAAAAATGTCACGAAGATTGTACATCACGTACAAGGTTCGACCGAACCAACACCATTGCAATATAGAGACATGAGAATTCCTCATTGTACTGTGTAGCCCGATAACAAAATCCATTGTATCTTGCAGTGTGTTCTCTTGGATATAACCTGCAGGGTTTGCCGTGAGGTAAATTTCTTCCGATCACTAGGAGAAACTAGTGGTACATGCATAAATCTTTTCTGGCACACTTTCATTCTCCTTATTAGAACTCAAACTCGTAAAATTCTTCATAACCGTCATTGGTTCTTCAACTATCAATGGGATATTAGGAGGGGGTAGTGGTGATATCAATGGTTGAGGCCTGTCGAAGATGTGTAAATTTTTGTCTATGCTTAACTCCTTGAGGGACACTTAATCATCAATCACATTCATTGACACCTCAAACTGTAGTTGATCTTTTGGCATTGTTTCTTTGAGGATATCTACCTGCTTTCTCGGGCCATCTAGCTAGTTGACGTTGATCTTTTTCCAATTTATGAAGATTGTTGTGAGCTGAATAATTGCTAGTGACATGGTTAATCTCCTCAATTGATACTATCAAACTTTGCAATGTTTGATTAATGATTTGGAGTTGGAGATTCAAATTATTGGTGTAGATAGTTTGATGATGGACTAAAACGGAGAGATTTGTTACTAACGGATTTGTCAGTATGTAAAAAATCAATAAGTTTGATTTCAAGAATTGTGATGACAAAATAGATAATGATAAAAGAAAAAATACGAATAAGGAAAATTTTTGTAGTTTATTTTTTTTTAAAAAAAAATTTCTAGGGGATGATGCCAAAAATGAAATAAAAAAAAATAAAATAAAAAGATAGGGGATATTCTCACTAATAGAATCAATGAAAGCACCAATGTTACGTACTGCGCAACGGAAGAAACCTTTCGAGTAGGCTTCTGGCTCCTATTCGAGTTACGGTAACTCCAAAAGAAAAACAATATAACAAAAGAAAATGACGAAACTCTTCAATATAATTGATTTCTGCATGCCTTTACACTACATAGAATACTCTATATGTACTATCTTCCTAAAAGAATACAATCCTTTATATAATAAAGCTATATGGTTTGGGAAATAATTAATGTTACAAATTAATGCCACAACATCCTTTATTATATATAAAAAAAAAACACAACATTTAAAAAAATAAAATAGCTATATATTATATAATCATATAAAAAATATACTTTTGAAAAATAAAATAGCTATATATTATATAATCATATAAAAAATGTGTTCAATTAGAGTTTAAATTTACACATACAAAATTTGAAATTTGCTTTCCAAATGTAATTATCTTAGTTATTATTTGTATTGTGAAAATTATAATATAGTTGAAATACAATTAAGAATAAATCAATGTAATTATGTAAATTCACTCTATAAGTTTATTTGAATATGCACATAATCAGAGATTATATTAACCATACAAAATTATAATTATAATTTTAATTGTAATTTTGTATTCTATAAAAATAATAAATACTTGACAAATGGAAGCTCAAAAATATTATTATATTAAATAATTTAAAATATTTTAGTTTTTTTATTTTTTATTTATATTTATAATAACATAATTTTTTTCCGTGCATCGCGCGGGTGAATTACTAGTTATAATAATGGAATGACTAATTATTCTACTAATTATGAATTACACATACATGCTAATTATAAGGTAATATACATTATTTTTGTTGCAGGATTATCGCTAATCAATGGTGTATCAGGCACTTTTTTAGTCTTAGCCTATGTATATATTGATGGAAGACAAAAACTTGTACGTGTGAAAGACTGGTATGAGTTATAAACAATTAGGTGTGTAAATATTATAATTTCATTTATAAGTATTATTGTATAATATTTAAAATTAGAAATAATTAATTTTATCCTAAATAGAATCACAATTTCACATATAAATATTATAATATCTATCATAATTAACGATTTATCTTTAATTCAAAATGGTATAAAATTTTCAACATTACGTATTACAATTTATTTCATAAGTAACATTTGGTATACATATAAGTATTACAATATTTACATTAGAAGTACACTTTGTAAGTATCACAACTTTAATTACTTACAAATATTACAATATTTATCATTAGTAACAATTATTTTATCCTAAATAGTATCACAATATTTCATATATCCACTTTTAGTCTTTTTTTTTTTTTTTTTTTTTTTTAATTCAAAACATCCTCCTTTGGTCCTAGTATTATTTTGGCATAACCATTTTTTGTAATTTGTCAAAAAAAATGTTTAAACGACATTAAATATAAGGACATTTCAGTTTATTTAGTTTTAAGCATTAATTTTTTTTTTTTCTGTTCCTAAATTTATGTGTCATTCAACTTTTAGTTTTTGTTTTTTTTTTTTTTTTTTTTTTTTTTTTTTTTCAAATCAGAACATCCTCGTTGGTCATAGTATTATTGTAGCACAACCATTTTGGCCCTACGCCAACAAATATGTTTAAATGATGACATTAAAAATGACGTTATTAATCACTCAAATTCTCATTTTTTTCCTCTTGGTAATAGAACAATACCAAGGTTCTACATCTTCAAAAAAACCATATACACTGATCATACATTCATTGATACCATAAATAATCCATAATTTATTCATAGCATAATGGAGTGAAAACTGTTACCAATACATAAGTCAACCAAAAAAAAAAAAGAAGGTACAGTTGAAAAAACCACAAGTCTAGCTACTTCATGACAAACCTTAAGTCTAATGCATTAAAAATCTAGCAACACCTTCGAAGCTCCCCTAACAAAAGACTGATTTAAAATATTTTTGAAGTAGACTTATGGATTATTGTGAAGTAATCTTGTGGAATTTTATGGAGTGACATAATGTACTAGACTTAAAGTTTGTCATGAAGTAGACTTATGATTTTTTTAATTACACTTTTTAAGTTTTGTAGTAGACTTATGAATAGGTAGCAAATTTTGTTCCATTATAATATGAATGAATTATGGATTATTTATGCTATCAATGAAAGTATGATCAGTGTGTGTGTGTGTGTGTCTATATATATATATATGTGTGTGTGTGTGTCTATATATATATATATATATATATATATATATATATATATATATATATATATATATATATATATATTGTTTTGAAGATGTAGAACCTTTGCATTGTTTGTAAAAAAAAAAAATAGATGATTTTGACTGGATAACAATGTCATTTTTAATACCATTTAAACATATTTATTGATGTAGGAAAAAAATAGTCATGGCACAATAATGCTAGGACCAACAAGGATGTTCGGGAAAAAAAAAAAGACTAAAAGTGGAACGATACATGTAAATCTTTGACCATAAAAGAAAAATGATTTAACACTTAGAACTGAATAAATCGAAATGTCCTTGTATTTAACGTCATTTAAATAGTTTTGTTGACAGATGAGAAAAAATAGTCATGTCACAATAATACTAGGATCAATGGGAGATGTTTTTAAAAATAAAGACAAAAATGGACTGACGCCTATAAATCTATGACAAAAAATATTATAATTCTATGATTTTTATCGTAATTAACAAGCAATTGTCCTAGATTTGACCCGTCTCACAGATAAAGATCTGTGAGACGGTCTCACACAAGTGTAATTCTTCTTTTTATGCTATTATAGAACTCGTGAAGATGCAACATGGGGTATTAATGACAACTTATGAGCTTGTGAATGTAGTATTTAAAATGTCTCTAAATTTACAAAGAGTTGGTGTGAGAACATCCCGTATATATATATATATATATATATATATATATATATATATATCTTAATTCATGATAAGAATCATAATACTTGTTACAAAAAAATTAGGGAAAATGACATATTTGGTCCCTAAGTTATACACATATTGATGACTCAATCCCTCAATTATAATTATATCCCTAAGTTATACACATATTGACGACTCAATCCCTCAATTATGATTATATTCATTTTTTACCTCTCATTTATGAGTGAAGTGGCTCGTTTTATCCCCGTTGTAAGGTTTCCGTTTAAACCTGACGGAAAACCTAAAAAAATCTTATTATTGGAAGGGTAAAGTAGGAAATTTACATCTTATTTTCCTTTTTATATGGAAACCACATTCACAACATAATTTTCAACTTCACAACCTTCTATTTCAAGGTTCATCAACTCCAAAAGCATTTCAGTAATCCTCCTATGACTTGTTAAGAACCTAGGTCACGTATATGGAACCTAAGACACAATACAAGGAAACATTTGATCAATATTTTCTGGCGTGTGAAACACACTATCCTAAAAGCTTCCGATTTCACTAAGCAATAAGGGTAATAAAACCATAACTTTTGAGATACAAGGAAAATGTCATATTTCTCATGTTGCTTTTATGAAAAATCAACAAATGAGTAACTTGAGATTTTTAATATGTAGAAATTCACTCGAAAACTATGCAATAGTTTAGTCAAAGTCGTATATTTTGAAACATACAAGGAGTACTTGAGGCTGGCTTTATACTGCTACCTCTTGCATTCCCATGTCTTCAATCCAGCCATATTTATAGCATAAAAATTGAAGCTTACCATTATGACATTATAATGTGAGTCTTAATTTTTTGCCAGCGTTGTTCACAAAAATTGCCCCATGGCAGTCGCAACACCATTCTCGTCACCAACAGCTTCCACAACCTCTGCATCAATAAAACGTTTGATGACTTCATTCTCCATTTCCGAAGCCACTTCCACCTTCAACTTCAAAGCCGACTGAGTAAAACGCCTTAGCACTAGCTTGCTCGCAGCATTCTTCACCACTGTCGTTGACTCTTTTTTGACTTCTATCTCCACCATTTAACTGCTATGGATGGACCCTTTTCCATAGCAGTTATTTGTCGAACAGAAAGGAGAATTGAAGAAGAGACTTAGGAAAAAAACCCGTTTACCCCTTAACTTAACATCTTTCTAACTCTTAGTTAACGGAAGGACCAATGGTGGAACACCTGGATAGTCAAGGGTTTATTTCGTCTAAATTAAAAGACAGTGATCAAATTTGAAATATCACAATAATCGAAGGACTATTACTGGAATTAACTCGTACAATTTTCTATTAAAAACCAAAAAAAAAAACAAAACAAAACAAAAAAAGAGTAAATACCAATTTTGGTCCCACGAGTATTAGTAAAATGACAGTTTTGGTCCACTTGTTTAATTCCTACCAGTTTTCATTCACGACTATTGTTTTAGTAACAATTTTCATCCACAACTATTGTTTTAGTACCAAAATTCATCACACCGGTCACCATTTCGTTTATGACGTGCCGAAATATGAAATTATTAAGAGTAGTTTCGTGCTTTTCAAATTAATATCCCTATTTGAGCATGAATAAAGGGATTTAAGCCATAAGATCTATCCCAATTCGCAGTTTTCATCTTCAAATTAAGGTAGGATGAGGAGGAGAACTGCGAATTGGGATCGTTCTTAGGACTTCAATTCATTTATTTATGTTCAAATTGGAATATTAGGTTGAAATGGACGAAAATGCCCTTAAAATGTTTAGATTTCGGGATGTCTTAAATATATGGGTGACTGACATGATGAATTTTGGTACTAAAATAATAGTTGTGGATTAAAATTAGTACTAAAACAATAGTTGTGAATGAAAATTGGTAGGAATTAAACATATGGACAAAAACCGTCATTTTGTTAATACTTGTGAGACCAAAATTGGTATTTGCTCAAACAAAAAAGGTGTTACGAGATATAGAGTAGTTCAAATTTTTTTTTTCCCCCATTTTGGCGCCTTTATTAAATTTGAAATTTCAATGTATCTCATCATCTCCTCCAAATCCAAAACCTATCTCCTTCGCAAATCGCAAATCGCAAATCGCAACAGATCAGAGTTCAGAGCATTATGAATCCAGAAGATCTTCTTCAACCTCTCTTAATCACCCAAACACGGAAGTGCACTCTTGGCTGCCCACTTCTAGATCGCCTCCTCGCCGGTGGCGTCCCTTGCAACTCTGTAACCGAGCTAGTGGCGGAGAGCGGCTGCGGAAAAACCCAAATCTCCCTCCAACTCCTCCTCACTGCCCAGCTCCCTTTCTCCCTCGGCGGCCTCTCCGCCTCCTCCCTCTACCTCTACTCCGAATCTCCTTTCCCTCTCCGCCGCCTCCGCCAGCTCTCCCTTTCTTTCCCCGCTCTTCAAAACCCCTTGGATAAAATCCTCACCCACCCACTTCACTCTGCATACCACCTGCTCGACCTATTGCCCCGCATTGACTCCATCCTATCCCGCCCCCCCGCACCCCATTCCCCTATCAAGCTACTGGTTATTGACTCCATAGCCGCGCTCTTTCGCCATGAATTCGAGAACAATCTGCAGGAGCTTAAGCAGAGGTCGGATTTATTCTTCAAGATTTCGGGCAAATTAAAGGAGCAAGCGAGGAGGTTTGGTTTGGCGGTGGTGGTGGTTAACCAGGTTGTGGATGTGGTGAGTGCTTCTGAATCCGTTTGGATTCGCAATTCGCCTTCGCTGTACACTTCTGGAAGGAATGTGTGTGCTGTTCTGGGATTATCTTGGTCGAATTGTGTGAATACGAGGTTGTTTTTATCCAAGCATGAGGAAAGAGTGGGTGAAGATGGAGATGGGTGTGCTCTTACGCAGAAAAGACAGTTTATACGCGTTGTCTTTTCCCCCTATCTGCCTGATTCTTCCTGCGAATTTGTTATTAGAAAAGAAGGGGTCTTTGGAGTTGAAAGGTAGCAATTGCAATTCAGTTTCAACTTTCAATGATATGAGGTCAAGTAATGTACAAACCCACAGTTTACTCAACAGGCAGGGCATATTTTTCAACCAAAAAGAACAAGGAAAAATAACCTCCATTCAGGTATATAATTATTGCTGCCCATATTATTATTCTTTCTGTTTTCTTGTAATTGAATTTTTGTATAGAGTGGAATACTTTGTTTTCAATACCTTTTGTTTCTCTAGTTGGATTGAGAATAGGATACAATTAATAGGTATCAAATGTGTTGACCAACCATGAATCTAGTTGAGCTTTGCTGAGGAAAAACAAAATAGTTTTTCCATGCTGGGAAATAATGTAGAGAAACACCAGTGTGAGCTAATTGTTTGTTTGGAAACGAGGCAATAACAATGGCAGTGGCAAATGCAAAATGCTATTATGTTTTACAGTTTACTCAGTTTGAGCTGAACCTGAAGAGTAATAAGTGATAACAGTGTGAGGAGCATGGGTGTTGATACGATCTCACATCGACTCAAAAAAACATTGTGGAGTGGTACTTAAGTTGGGGTTAAACCTGTACTTATGAGCTAACATTTGTGGTGGAGTAAGGTCTTGGCTTGTGTTAAAGAAATGAAAGGTTTGAGAACAACAAAAACAAGAGTGACTATTGAGATAGGCAACATGTCTTCTCAACCAACATTCTCTTCTAGATCCTTACTATTGGAGAGTAGATGCATGACCCCTTGAATTTTATTGAACGCAGGAGGAATACTTAATGAAAAGACAAAAGATATATGAGATAATATCACATTTTCAAGCATTCAAAAGTTTCACATGCCGTTCATCAAGAGACTTCAAACTTAAAAGAATATTATGTCTTTATTAGTAACTTAGAGCATCCCCATCAGTGATTTTTGGTAGAGTTTTTGAGAAAACAAAGATGATGTGAAGGAGAGAAGGTGAGGAGAGAGAAGAAATGAGATGTTTGTTGGAGAATGGATTTTTGGTCTAAAAAGGTGGGGCCTGCATAGAGAAAAAATTGCATAGATCTCATATGCATTTAGTGCAACTTGCATGCCCAGCGGGTGCTTAAGATATTTGTTTTTGTTTTTATTTGTTGTTAGATTTGTTTCTCTCTCTCATCTCTTTAATCTTCTCTTTTCTTGTTACATTTACAAAAACTCCTCAAAAATTACAACTGTTAAAGATGTTCTTAGTTGGAGGAGTTTTTCAACCATGTATTGAATCTTTGTAAAATCTCTACCATTTGGTAGATAAAGGTAGAGTTGCAGTGGTTTTCTTGTGAAAACTTGAACAAACTCTTGTAGGTTTTGTGATTAAAGTACATGTTTGCTCATCTCTTGTAGGTTTTGTGATTAAAGTACATGTTTGCTCATTCACTGTAATTATGTGGTGATACAAATTGCAAGTGAATATTTTTTTAGACAATAATTATGCGGTGATACAAATTGCTAATTGATGTTAATATTAAATACAATAATTGTAAAATTAACAAATTGATATTATAATTGAATGGATAACTTATGAACGGTTAGATCATGATTCAGCTAAAAAATAACGTGTAACATGACAAATGATACGTTACTTTAAAATAAGGTTAAAACTACTCTAATTTTATAAATAAAATTTCAAATTACCTACTTTGAAAGAACCAACTCTAATTTGGTAATACAATTTCAAAATACTTTAATTTGACCCCCTAAAAAACCTCTAAACCCAACTATTCCTAACACAATATTTTTTTTAACCCTTACTAAATATCAAACCTTCGAAAATAAGGGTGGAAAAACCTGGGTTATCTAATAATAAAAATAAAATAAGGGAGGAAAGATGTTATCAAATTATAAGTTCAAGGCTAAATTTAAATTTTCACCTCAAATATTAAATCAAGAATTAACTACAAAAAGCAAATGTATTATAAGAATAGCACAAATGCTATAGCTCACTGATTTAGTAAGCAGTATTTGGGAGAAGAAGAATAGCACAAATGCCAATAGAGAACATTTGAAATTAATATGCCCTAGAAATCCCCTAGAATACTGAGACGTTAAAGTAAAAATGTATGGTTCATACAAGGAAAATATGTATTACTAGTATGCCAGTATTTGAACAAATACATTCTGTTACAGTTTAGAAAGTCAAGCTAAGTAGCTAACACAACCAAAATCGGTATGCAACATTTTCATTCGAGTTGGTAAACATATACCTCTTTTGCTGTCAGTAGCAACAGCAACACATTAATCAATCGCAATAATGAGAAACCCAACAGATACATACATGAGAAGAACAGGGTAAAGTGCAAGAGCCTTCCTACTAGAAGTGACAGCAGTACTCATGAATGGATATGCAGCCCAAGAGCTCCATGCCAAGGTCACCCCAACTACCACTATCTTAATTATTACGTTATCCATCAGCATGCAGATAACAGCACCAACGTCGAGTGGGAATAGACAGTATCCGAGCAGACTCAAACTCTGGAAGAAGATTATGTGACCGCCCTGTAACGAAGAAAATGGCAGTTACCTGTTAAAATGAATAGATAAAGAGGCCCACACGGGTTTAACTCACTAGTTTAGTTATTTGGGACTTGGGAGAAGAGACCAAGGTTCAAAACTCAGCAGCGGTAGTGTGGGAATTATGCCCAAAGTAGGCAGATCCCTTGTGCACACCGGCATTTGGCCCTGTCTGTTGAGCCACTGAGTAACCGTGATTTACATCCTCTCACATGCTCTGTCGGACCGGGGTGTTGGGGCCCTTGGGGTTGGAGATTCAACCTTTTGGGAGAAGGGAGAAGAATAGATAAAGAGAGCTCACAATATAATAAATGCAAATGTTCATTTCCTCTTCCCAGAATAAGATTTCACTTTTGGAAAAGAAAACAGAGAGGGTAGGGAGTGGGTTATAAGCCCAAAACTGAAATGTGATCATTAACATAATTCGGGTGCCCACACATGACACATGCATGTCACTCTGCCATTTAGGAGGGGTAGGGGGTTGGTGAAAGAGAAAGACAGAGACAGAGATCATTACCAGCAGCAATACATTCAATGTAAGAATCACAGCACCTGTTGCCAGCAGTGCAAAAGCAACAGCAAAAACCTCGGACTGGAGCAGAATTAAAAGTCAAGAAGAAAAAACATAAATTAGTCAGTCTAGAAATTTGAACCATAAGCTAGATACAAGACACAAGAGATTTCAAAGCGAGTGCCGGGATGTTTATAACCCTAGACTGTTGTGTGGTAAGGACTAACAAGTAACAACCTAACTGGTCTGAAACAAATTATCAGAGCAAGTTAAGGTACTTCAACGCTATCACCACAACCCTCACAAAACAATAATGTAGGCCATAGAAAGATGAAAGATAGATATCACTAGAAAGTTTCCAGACTTGTGTCCATGAATTTAATTTGTAACGAAGTCAGGGATTGAGTACAATCGAAAAACAATATTCATATGATATTACTCATCAATAAACTACTATTTACTATTTGATAATCAAACTAATTATAATAAATAAATAAATAAATAAATAAATATATATATATATATATATATATATATATATATATATATATATATATATATAATAGGAAACTATAATGGATGAGATTGGTTCTCATGGATTCATGGGGAGGTTGGTTCTAAAGTGGGCTTACCCAATGTTCCAAATTTCCAATAAATATAGGACCTGTATAACGTTCAAGACAGATAGAGAGACAATCTATTGTAATCAACTATTATTAATACAACAATCATATATTCCCTCTTTCTTTTGTTTCTCAAATATTTTGCTTCTACCTGACTGGCGTGTGGTGGCTATTTGTTACCTGCCCAACTTTTCAATTCTTCAATTTCAACAAAGTATAAGGACTTATGTATCCTAGCCATTTTTTTCTAGCTTTCTGAGCGGAAACAGTGTTTTCCAGTAAGGTGAACAATGCTTATTACGACTAACTTCTCAGTTCCGACCTTTGGTAGCTACTTTTGCAAACTATCACGACCCACCACTGGAAAGCCTATTGCTGAAGTCCTCATGCACCACCCAAGCTACCAGAACTCCGTTTGGATTTTCTCATTTTTCTCTTTCTCTAGTGATCTTTTGGTTAAACCTCCTACACCAAAGTGTTCTCTTCCTCCAAGGATCGCTATGGTATACTTTTTGTCAATTGTTGCTGCTGACCAGAAATTCCCTTTGTTGGTCCTACGTTTCATCTCTATCGCTCTTGATAAAGGCTTCTTGACATTTGTTCTAGAGTGTTTGTGTTGACCTGTTATCTTGAGGTTGTTCATGTTCAACATCGTTCCCAAAGGTTGTGCCATGTCTTTTGAAGCCATCCGTTATCCTCTAGTTGTTTAATCTTCATTTATAACTTCGACTTAGGTGGAGTATTTGTTTTAATTCCTACTTGGAATTTCCATATGTTCCAGCTTGAAAGGGGAGTGTTGAATAATTGGAAACCATAGTCCTATTCCTAGTATGAGTAGGCTTAGCTAATGTTCTTATAAATATAGGATCCCTATACAATTCAACACACAGATAGTGATACAATCTTTTGTAATCTATTATTATTAATAGAGTTATATTCATTCTATTCTCTTTTGCATTGGTTTCTCACATTTTGCATTTTCCTAACTAGAGGGCATTGGCTATTCACCACCTGCCAGACCATTCAATCTCTCAATTTCAACAACTTATATTTATGTATATTTAAGGAAAAATCTTTACAAATATGAAATATACCCCCAATATTTTTAGATTTGCACATTTTCCCACATTTCATGTCTTACTGTAATAAAAATTGCCATTTCCCATATCTTTGTTCCCAAGTTTCGTGCTACAAAGGTAGCTATTATGGTGAGAATGCAGTGTGAAACTACAAAACCCAATGGAATCTCCAATAAACCCACACCAAAATCAAACTAGAGGTTAAATAAATAAATAAAAAGGTAAACAACTAAAATGATTTTTTATGCAATCCTAATAATTCGTCGTGGCCAAATGTATGCAGTTTGAATTTTCTTCACCTATTCTAATTACCATTTTGGCATTCAGCCTCAAGCTCTGTTGAGGTAAAGTGATCAAAGATATGCTAAAAGCTTTCAATAGAGATGAAGAGTGCTTTTATGCTTTGGGCAATGTGTGGTCAATGAATTGGGACAACCATTCAGAAGTGAACAAAATCAGACCATTTGCTGTGGAAACCCCTACGCATTACCCCTTTCGGACCCAAATATAAATTGGGAAAATCTAGAAAATTTTGGTGACTGTATGGGCATAGCTTTTGGGTCTAGGAATAATGACAGTGGGAAACCATCAGCTGCCAACCAGCAAAGAGATCAATTTTGAAGCAGAGATAAAAAGAGGTTGTAATGGTAGGTGGATAAGGACAACTAGGATCAATAGCCAAAAATGGTTAGAACAGGATCTAGATATTTGCCTTTGTGATTTAGAGTTGAACACCATATTCTCACATTGATTTATTAGGGTTTGTTGTGTGTGTGATGGAGGAACTACATGGGACTTGCTTGTTCTTTATGTATGGGTTTGTGAATCAATTCTCTGGGTAGAAGGTTGCACCCCCCTCAATGCACTTATAAAACTTTTGACCTATCCAAAAAATATGAGAAAGCCATCTCTAAACTTCACAGCTTTGCACTTCAACTAAGCATCGCTACATATTCATTCTCCCCATTCATATACACTTGGCAATGCTCACCTTTATAGCATCACGACCAGATTACTTGTCATGTAGCTATCCATATCATCACCCCAATCATTTAGAGAACCCAAAAAAAAAAAAAAAAAAAAAAAAAAAACTTAATATGTTTCACCACATCCAAGTATCCAACAATTTTATTATTCTATTGTTACTGCTTTTCATTTTTGACAAGAACTAAACTATAAATTGTAAAACATTTAACTTCTTCGATAAATATTTAGTCAGTAGCAACTGAAAAAAATTAACTCAGCTAGATACAATAATTTGGAGTGTTTACTGTATTAAATAAATTTCATGACTCTAACATAATTAAACAAAGAACATTAAATTAAATAATAATGAAATAGTAGTATCTTCCATAGTTCCATACCTAGTCCAAGCCATTGTATTAAAAATTTCCAGAGAATAATACCAAAATCCTTAATCAGGTAAGATAGGTCAACATAACTGACATGACTGATGCACATCAGCACATGTATAGAAATTCAAAGACATCTACTTTGTAATCTGTATATCATAGTAAAAAAGCAAAGATAAGGCACAAAAAGGACCACAAATGTAAGGAACCACTAATGAGGTGTAAGACAAGCAGTGGCCCTAAGTCCATACTTAATGGAAACCATTAAAAATTAATTTCAGACTTATTAGGAGATCGTTAGAAAATCTAAGCAGAATTTAAATTACCACAATACCCTTGACTATAAATAGTTCAAACTTCAAAGTGAAAGCAGAGTCTGATCCTAAACTTAAAAAATTATTTAAAGCTTAACACATGTGCATTTTAAGATTTCCCTCATATTCTGTGCTGCTTATCCATATAATACTAAGTAGAAGTCAGTTTACTGTTCATCTCTAAAGTGCATAAATAATAAAAGACATGCCAAAACTTTTGAGCCCTCTTCTTACATAAAGAAGCACAATTATAACTCAAACTAGCATAGCAATCACCAATGCTTCAAAGATTGCAAATTTTCAACAGACAACTATGCATTTTGCACTCAAAACTTTCTTTGAAACTGTAACAGTACTCAGAAAATAGTCCAAGACATAAGACCAAGCATGTGGGAAGTCCACCAAAATAAAATCAAATAATAATCTAGAACATAGATTTATCTTGTAAAAGCATTGATTTGATCCACACTACATGGAAGGGAGAGCTTTGCATATCAGTAAGGAGTATTTATATGAAGCCCTTCACCATTATCATTTTCCATAACTGTTTAAGAAACACAAACTTGATGCAAAGGTATCAAAGTGTAGGATTAGGAATGTTAAACTTTCTCAGATCAATTCCAATTTTTCACCACTAAATACAATTCCAATTTTCACCACTAAATAATTAACGCCAATACAATATCATCAAATCAAAACACAGTAACATCATGAGAAGTTCATTATTCAGCAAATCATTCATTCTATAAAGGTTATTCGTTTCATAGCTTTAAGTGCGTCAAATACAAGTATACAAATATAATAAAATTGTAAAAACGTTACCTTCTTAACCGATGCAGACCAGGAGAGGGTGAGACCGAGGAAGACAATGAAGAAGAACGGTCCCCATAGATCCCAATCACGTAATGCCTTCCCAGGATCTTCCCTGAATGGATTAGGGAAAACCACGAGCTTCAAATTGCTGACAATTCTTGACAGATCTCTCTTCACCGTATCCCAGACGGGCTCAGTAAGTGTGTTAATGGGAGATCCGAACCCAGTAGAGGGAATACCAGACTGCCCTGAAGTGGGACGGGAGGAAGGAGGAAGGGGAGGTGGGGTGACGGGAGGGGCCGGGGCGGGTTTGATGGTCTGGGATGAAGGCGGTGGGAGATTAGATGGGATGAAGGGGGAGGAGGATACAGGAATTGAAGCACGGGGAGGGGACGGCGGACGCGCCGGGAGCACGGTGGATGGGTGGGAGTTGATGAGGTTCTCGATCTCGTCAATGTCCGATTGGGATGTGCTGTGAAGAGGTATTGTATCGCTGTGTGACATTTTTCCGATTAATTTTCAGTGAATTTTTGGAACTGAAAAGAGAATCGTTCGCCGGAAGAAGCCGGAGGGAGATCAGAGAAGAAGACTGGGGAGAAGAGAGAGGTTGAAGCGTTCACCTATTCCGAGATCTAAGAAATGAGATGGCACAGTTATTTTTATTTTTTTAATTGAAAAAAAATCAATAACAACCTTTATTATTATTTTTTTTTAAGTGATCAAATTGGTCCACTATAGTCATCAGATATTGCAATTAGGTTTCTTAAGTGAAAAAAATTTCATTTAGATCTTCTAAATTTGTAAAATTATTTAATTAAGTCCAAATCAACCTGTATAGCAGGTTAATTCTTTCCAAGACGCGTGTCACTTTTAAAATACTATTTTATTTTTATTTTTTAAAGACTTTTTATTCATTAATTAAATTATAAAAATAAAAATATAAAAAAATCAACCACGAGCTATTTGGCGAGGACAGTCGGTGGCTACCTATTTCACGAACAATCGTAGCTGTTCAGCGATGACAGCCACAATTGTCAAACATGAGGTCTAGATTTGGACAATCTGGAACGAGGGATGCCATAATCGCTGCCCTCGTTCCAAATTGCCATGGATAATGGCGGTCCTTCTTTCTAAGCCTGCCCACTTACTAAGATCCAAGCCTTGTCCCCGCAATTGACGAGATTGACTTCCGGACCAAGAGCGCGAGAAGCCTGGGTCCATTCACCAACAGACTTTTCAGCATGGCTTTAAAAAAAAATTTAGATGGAACGAGGGCGGTGGCCTTGGCCGCCGCCCTCATTCCAAACCTCATGTTTGAGGTCAGATGTAGACCTCATGTTTGACAGTCGTGGTCTTGAAACTTTTTTTTTTTTTTATAATAATTTAATAAATAAATAAATTATTTTTTAAAGAATTAAAAAAAAAAAAAAAGGTGACACGTGTCAAGCTTGGGTAGAATTAACCTGCTAGTTGATTTGGATTTAATAGAATAATTTTACAGGTTTAGGGAATATGAATAAAGCTTTTTTTAATTAGGGGATCTAATTGCACTATCCGAATGACTCAGGAGGCCAATTTGACCATTTTTCTTTTTTTTTTTCTTTTTTCTTTTTTTTTTTTTTAAAAAAGAGGAAAAATTGCACTTTTGAATCCTAAGTTATATAGTAATTGTATAATTTGTCCCTAGTTGTTGGTCGTACTCACTTCTCTTCTCTAAGTTATAATTGATGTTGCAATTTCGTTCTTTTTTGTAACAGGTCATCTCATCCATAAGCTATAACTGATGTTGCAAATTTCGTCTCTAATGTTTCTTAGAAAAAAAAGCCAAAATTTACAACGTTAGTTATATTTTAGGAATGATAGGGTAACACAACCAACAAGTAGGGATAAATCCTACAATTATACTTAGGGATGAAAAGAATACATTTTTTTGATTAGCATATCATGTTTTGGAAACCAAAATTATGACCAGGAATAATGCAAAAGTGTCGTGAATGTCGCTAACACCGTCAGATCTGAGGTTACCATTCAAGTTCCAAAGGAAACAATTCCTATTAATGTTGTCATATGTGACTACAATAAATAAAAGCCAATGTCAAACACTATCACATGTTGATTTATTTTTTTAGAAAGCTTGCGTTTAATCATGGACAAGTGTACGTAGCTTAAATATTTTGTTTGATGGGGATAATGGAGAATCTTCAAATACGACTAAAAATGTAGTTTAATTACAAAGAAGTTTTCTAATATAATTTGAATGTTACTTGTTTATTAAATCATTTGTAATCAATATTAAAAATTTATAATTGTTTTATTTTTAGGATATATTATTTTCTATAATGATATTTTTTTGTGCGTGCATTGTACGTGTGTAAATACTAATTAGAATTAAAAGAATCAATTTACAAAGATTGATAAACATTAACAATAGAAGGCTGGATCCCATATTTCCAGTTAGTTGGTATGGCTCTAGCTTTCTAGTGACTGTTCGTCGCCAACAATATAAGCCATTGTCGACAATGCAAACATTGATGGAACTATACAAGAAAGAAGATTATTAATTCTAGATTGTCAATTGCAGATTACCGCGTAGAACTATAAATTTACTAATTTGCGTATGAAGTTTATGAAATTTTAATACTTTCACATTTTAACTGTTGAGAGTTGACTAATACTAATTGATGTGTGGTGCGACCAGTGACTCTTTCTCTGCTCTGGTTAGGTAGTATGGGTGCGACGAGATAGGCCTTTGCTCCTTCGGATTTTAGAGTTTATCAATTAGAAGAAATGGAAAAGGCGCGCACACATACATATATTATGGGCCCCCCTATTAAATATGAGCATTGGGCAAGAACCTAGCTTGCCCTTACTTAGAGGTTAGGGATATGCATGCGAAGGGAATATTTCATATAATATCTAGGGATGGCAACGGCGCCGCGACCCCAGCCCCATCCCCATCCCCGTCCCCGTCCCCGTCCCCGTCCCCGGCGGGGAATTGAAAAAATTCCCCGTACCCGTTCCCGCGGAGAATTTGGCGGGGACGGAGAATCCCCATCACCGGTCAACCCATAATCAATGTGTGAAAGTAATACAATTTTTAAAAATAAAAACAAAAAAATTGAAATTCATAGTCAATATATTCTAATAATCTAATTAATTCTATATATACACATTCAATATTCACAGTGCATGCAATGTAATCAATATTCAATATATTCCAAATTTTAATTCATCAAATATATACATATTGTTTGAATAATAGAATAGTATTTACTATGTTTTAAATTTTGATTTTAAAATCTAATAAAACTAATTAACTAAATAACTAATAATCTAATTCCTAATTCCTAATATAATATATATATTTTTTTTATTTTTGGGGACGGGACGGGGCTGGGCGGGGAGGGGTATCCCCGTCCCCGTCCCCGTTCTCCGAATTTTTTTCCCATCCCCGTCCCCACCCCCTACGGGGATGGGGCACATTGCCATCCCTAATAATATCATATCAAGTCACTACAAGAATAAAGACATTTAGTGACAAATCTTTTGTGACATTTCATAATTTAGTCACAAATAATACACTTTTTGTGACCAAAAAAATAAGTCGACACTATTCTATGGATAATTGTGACAAATTTTTTTTGGTCACGGATAGTATGGTAATTGTGACAAGAAAGTATTTGTTACGAATAAGTTGTCACTATTACTAGAATAATAGTGTCGTAACATACGTTGTCACTATTTGTTGTCACTAAATGTATGTGCATTTTGGCGGCATTATAATTATGGCGGGAACGAATGTAATTGTGACAAAATATAATGTGGACACAAATGTTTATATTTTTGTGACAAATAGTTGTTGGTCACTCTTGTTTATAATATTTGTGACAACTTTTGTCAATAAAAATACAATATGTTAGTACCATTAGAAATGAGAAACAATTGTGAGAAAAAATATTTTTGTCACTAATATTATCACTAGTGACGAAATTGTTAAAAATATTTGTGACGCTCTATAATTCCATAACAAAAATTGCTAAATTGTGATGATAAAGAAACAAGTTGTTGAAATCAAGTAAATTTTTGCTCACTTATCAAGCAATCAAGGGATTCCAAATATGCTAAGCAATGTATCTCCATCAATACCTCAAGTGAAGAATAATCAAGACATTTTATTTTAAAATGTTTAGTTGCATTCTATTGTATTTCTAACAACATATATTTGTTAGACAATGAGGTCTCTTTTTATATATATTTTAATTTGACGAGTAACTTGTTGACTGAATTATTTTATTCCAGATAATAGGTAAATTAAAACATTTAATTATGATAAGATTTTGAAATAAATAATTATATATTGTGTGCATTTGGCTAGTATTATTTGAAAAAAAAAAAAACTGTGACCAAATAATGATCACTTGTAAAAACATCAAGATTGACAATAGTGACACTATTTCAACTTATTTTAGTGACACAAGTTTTGCCACTAATTTTCAGTATTGTTGTTACGGCTTTAGTTAGCACCAATGATTGTTTCAGAGTTAACTTCTTTTTGTCACAAATAAATACAATATTTGTTACCATGATTGTTGTCACAACAAAATAATTATTTGTTACAACTTTTTAGGTCACTGATTATCATTTTTGAGTCAATAACAATTCACACAAATAAGTATAAGTATTGTGACTAAAGTATTGTCACAATAAAATAATTAATTGCAACGATTTTAGTTGTCACTAGATCAATTTTTTGTAATAACATATTTTGTCACCAAATGTACATTTATTGTGACAACTATTGATATCACTCAAATACCACTTTTAGTATACGTAAACATTGTCACAAAAGTCTTAGTAATTGTGACAACTTTTCAAAAGTCGTCACTACTACAATAGTGACGGAGGATATAGTGACGACAGGTGACGACTTCAAAAATTGGTCACTAATTTCAATAGTGACCAAAATCGATAGTTTTGGTGACAACTTTTATTATCACTAAATGTGAAATTTCTTGTAGTGAAGTGTAAGATACTTATGATAGTTTTGTCAAAGATATGGAGAGCTACACTCATGTCTACCCAACAATCAAAGATATGGAGGAGAGTAAAGGATCACTTCACCAAAATAGTAAAAGGTGAGCGGTTTGCCGATAATAGATTGGACTTACTAACTTAAACATGTCCATATGGAGATAAATTTGTGCTGAGGCAACGAGTGTTTGCTACCCTGCCTAGGGGGATTCTGCATCTTGTTATTGTTTATTTAGCATGTGTCACCTTGCTGAGAATTATTTATTATATATGAGAAAAATTATGAGAGAGAAAAAAAAAAAAGAAGCTTCTAATAAATTTTAAACTTGTTGATGGGTGAAGGCCGGGTCCACCTTGCAAGATGGACCTAGGTTCAAAACGGCGTCGTTTTGCTTCAAAATGACGACGTCCGAATTAAAAAAAAAACATTTACTTACTTCATTGCCGTTTATCTTCAGAATTCGTTCCTCTATATTCACAATTTTTGAACTCTATATTCACAATTTTAGAACTAAGTATTCACAATTTTAGATCTCAATATACAAAATTACAGAACTCTATATCTACACAACTTGTATGAACCATGGTCCACACAATAATGATTGGGACACGGGTGCATAGCATAACGATTGATAATTTGCCATCCATAGTTATATGGGCCTAAAAGATGGCTACGTAGCCCATCAGTATTTCTTAAACCCTAATTGGACATTATTAACCCGTGTGCCGCTTTACAAACATCGTTTCTGAATTCTGATTCCCAGAACCGAAGAATTTCAGCAGCGGCACTGCGATGGGTATTTCGCATTTTCGCATTCTAAGGGATTTCTTTTGTGTTTTTTCTGTAAACCAACTGATGACTATGCTTTTCTGATGGGAAAATTTCAGGTGCGTACACATATGTTTCGGAGCTATGGAGGAAGAAGCAATCGGATGTTATGAGGTTCCTGCTGAGGGTGAGGTGCTGGGAGTACCGCCAGCTTCCTTCCATAGTTCGCGTCACCAGGCCCACTCGTCCCGACAAGGCTCGTCGCCTCGGCTACAAGGCTAAGCAGGTATGTATGTTGTATCAAATCCTATTTTTCACTGCTCATCTTGTCTTGTGATGTAAATTAATATGTATATATATGCGATTTCGTTGAGTTATATGTCTATGTTGTTGTTTATGTATCCGTTTTGTAGTTCTGTGTCGTTTTAATTTGTGTTTCCTGCATTCTTAACCCATTTGTGTATGCCATTTCTTGCTTGCTGTGCATAATTGAAAGGTCTCAATTTAAAGGAACTCAGTAATTGTTGGAGTACTAGATAATTTCTTTGTAGTTCAGAACACTCTTTGATACACACTTCTAAAGTTAGTGTTATAATGGGAATAAAAATTTAAGTGTAATAGATTGCATTGATGACTTGTATCTTGTACCATCTTTCTTATGCTAATGTACATTATATTTACAAATACTTTTCTAATTTTACCATTTTTTTTATAGCTTTGGTGTTTTCTATGGATTTGTTATTTTTTTAAACCTTTCTGTGGGTTTTGTTGAAATTTATTTTCTAATAATTGTATCTTTTAACTGCATAATATTTTATAGTGTTGCTATATATAAAACTTGTAGCTCAAATCTTGTGATGGTTAAAAGCAAATTTAGTATTTTGTCTTTTATTTCTTTGAGTTTCAACAAAATGAAGTAATTTATTATGTAACTACATATAATTATGTACCTAGTATTTGATAGTGTAAATTGTTGAATATGATTAATGAGGATTTCATTGATTTATTATATTATACAAGTATTTGATTAGAATAAAATATGATAAATAGATATACAAATTTAAAAAAATTAACAATTTAATTATCAATTGTACTTGAAATTATAGTAGTTTTTTTTTTTTTAAAATTATTTTGATAATGTAATTATACAATTTTTTGAACTTTGGGCATTTATTTTCATTTAGCTAGTACATAAATAAACCGAAACAAGAAAAAAAGTTAGAAATTTTGCTAGAATGCTATGTAGCACTACTTTTTATTTCTTAAAATTCCTTTTGGTCTAGATTTATAACTTGTTTGAGCCAATGGTTATTTAGGGGGTTTTAAGTACCACAGGAAGTAGTTGAGGTGGACTTAAGTGTTTGTGATTGACCATGTGTTCAACTTTCATTTTTATACTGAGTGACTTTAACTTGCTTTTGTTCATGTTGCACATATTATCATCTCGTGTCTGTTTTATAATTCTTAAGGATTCCATAATATGAAAGTTGGTCTAATGTCTAAGCCCCATTGTTGTACAGTAAATATATTATTGATGCATTGAATAACATGGCTGTTAATCTGTACCCCTTTATTTCAAATTTGATGAGACGTTTTGTGAAGAAGATTGCCATCTGGTTTTTGTTCTGGTAGTCTCGTTACCACAATTAATGCATATTAGCATTCGATTAGATGTTGATGAAGTTTTTTCTATTGTAAGATTGCTCCGATGTTATTGCATGTAGTTGTTGGTAAAGGAGTTCTTGAATCTTGATTACGATGCTTTATATTTTTCTTGCGTCTTAGCAGTTCTTTTTGGTTTTCATTTGTTGACAAGCACGGCATTGTATGTAGGGTTATGTCGTATACAGAGTGCGTGTGAGACGTGGGGGTAGGAAGCGTCCTGTTCCAAAGGGTATTGTTTATGGCAAACCCACAAACCAAGGTGTGACTCAGCTGAAGTTTCAGCGCAGCAAACGCTCAGTAGCGGAGGAGCGTGCGGGCAGGAAACTCGGTGGCCTCAGGGTTTTGAACTCTTACTGGATTAACGAGGTTTGTTCAGAGTGTTCTTTTAATTTCTATAACATATCCATGCGATCCCTGTGTTACGGTCTAACTCTGTTTCTGAATGCAGGATTCCACCTACAAGTACTTTGAGGTGATATTGGTTGATACTGCTCACGCTGCAATCCGTAATGACCCTAGGATCAATTGGCTTTGCAATCCTGTACACAAGCACAGGGAGCTTCGCGGCCTGACCTCAGCCGGGAAGAAGTACAGAGGTCTCCGAGGAAGGGGACACTTGCACCACAAAGCCCGCCCTTCGAGAAGGGCCACCTGGAAGAGGAACCAAACACTCTCCCTGCGTCGCTACCGGTAATTCTATTTACTGCTTTGGCTGTCTCTGTGAGAGCCTCAATTATTTGTGTTTTAGCAAAGCTGTTGAATCCACTCTTTTAGACTGGGATATTATCTACCTTTATTATTCTATGTATGCTAGATTAAGAGTTTGCTTGAATGAATTCAATATATTTAAGGTTTTTGCTTGACTATCATTTGGATTATCTTGATCTTGAATGGGTTTTTTCTGTTGATTTTATTTGTTTTGATGAGAATATAGAATATAGAGCCGTCATCATGACTACCGAGAGGTTCCATCGGAGAAAACCTGGATAACTATACCGGATGAGAATATAGATTGTATTGTGTTTAGTATTAATGTCTGAAGATACAACTCACCAAAAAAAAAAATGTCTGAAGATACAAATATAAAGACACGAAATAGAGTTCTAGTCTAATACCTTTCAAAACTCATTTTTAGGTTAAAATGCAACACACCACCATGCACGGGATGCACAATACATCAACAAATAGAACGCAACAAATGCACATTTATCTACCGATGCAATTACACCAAAATCTGAACACTAGAAGCATTAACATTCAGAGTCATGATAAAAACACCGTACGCAGCTATATGGGAAATCTAAAATCAAAACATTACAAATTCTTGTACGAGGAAACATCAACATTCATAACTCATTGCCTTCTTAAAATTCTCCAGCCGCTAAATGTATGACTTAACATATTCCTTTATAAGCAAACTAGCGTCAAATGTTATGTATCTCTTATAGTTATTATTGGCACAAGTAAAAGGAACAAACACCAAATTATACGTGCATACACGACCAACAAAACATGGAACAATTTGAAAATCGTAAACGCACAAATGCACAATGGTATTTTACTAGATATGCACGAACTTGTTCGTCAAATACATTGCATCAAAATAAACGTCGCCAAACAGATAAGAATACACGACACCTGGAACTATGCAAATAAAATACTCTAGAACCTAAAAACAAAACTTGAACCCAATGTAGCAAAAAACCAATGAATCATTCACACACAAACTAACGAAAATTCAAAATATGCATTGTGAACTTGTTGACTTGTTTGGAATTTCAAATTTAAATTATTAGTAGATTAGTAGAAGATGAGGTAAAAAATATCCAATTCAGTCTAGTTGGGCGCCAACTAGGTGGAGTTAGGCGCCGCTTGAGGCTGAAATCGCCTCGGCGCTTAGGGCTGAAATCGCCTCGGTTTAGGGACGTCTAGCGCCTAGACCGATTTTTACAACATTGAATATTTTTAAATTTGAATTAGAATTTTATTTAGAACAAATTTTGAGAACAAATTTCCTCATCAAACTCCTTCAATTCAAATTGCCAATAGCAAAAGGGAAATTAAAATTTTTTAAAAAATAAAAATCCTTGGAAACGCATACAATTCAAAACTAGCATGCTCCCCTAAGACTATATTCACATGAACTCAATCAAAGTCTTTAATTTCAACAAAACTATATATTTCAATCTTCATCGCCATGCCCGCCCATCATCACCGTGAAGGAGATAATGGAGACCCAAAGCTATTAACCCTACAATACCTTAGCTCCAAAGATATTTGCCTTTCAAACCTCAGCTGCTTATAAAAATTAGCTATAAACATCTCAGCCCTCTTATCAACATCTTCCTCCATCGGAAAACTTGTAGTCCTTTGCAGTCCACCCTTCACCGGAGAAGTCTCCGTGCTCTTAAACTCGTCGGAATCTTCCACGAATTCCCTCAACCCCGCCCGCCCGTTGAAGCTTATTGCCCTCCGTTTCCCCGAAGCCGATCCCAACATCGATGCTAGTTTCCACTTATTCAGATCAAAGTTTAATACAACTCTAATTTTCTTCACGGCTGTCTTAAGCTTTCCTAGCAAGAACCACCTGTCTATCCCCATGCTAAAGATCTCTTTTTGAGTATAGTAGAACTGTAAACAATTGATGATATGTTGGCTGGTAAATTGTAGAGGTTTATTGAGATATGGATTGTATATATAGTGGTGACTTAATTGGTGGATGAAAATATATATGTCGTTGATCTTGTTAAGCAAGGAAATGGTAGAGGCGTAGGGACGATGATTACCGTGTTATTATATGCCAGCTAGCAAGGGTCACACGCAAGAGAGGGGAGAATGATTGGTCAATGTTGATTAATTCTTATATATGCATATATATACATGGTAATTACGTATAAGTGTTTGGTAAATAGTTGTTAACTGATTAAGTTAGTGGGTTTGAGTACTTGATAACATTAGCTGATTGTAAAATGATGTTTAGCTGATTACATGCAAAATGACGTCTTCAAAGAGCTGATCGAAAAAACTGCTTTGAGCAACTTTTTTATTTTAACATTTTGGAGCAATAAGTTGTTACAAAAAGCTAATTAATCAAATATGTATATTGAATGTTTAATAATTAATAGTGGTCAAATAAGCTAAAATTGGTTGATAAGATACGTATGTTACGAAAGAAATTCATATTTTTTCAACTTTAATTAAGCAATTTGTTTGTTACGGTATTTCAGAAAAAACCAAAAAAAAAAAAAAAAAGCAATTTGTTTGAACAAAGGCGGCAGAACTTAGGTGCACTCATGACGTTTTCAATGGAAATAATGAAATTGGAGCCAACATATTTGACAATAGAATTCTTTGTAATTTACATGTTGATTTAAAAATATGGTATTCACCATTAACTAGATTGATGTATTCAATCCATATTTTGTAGACTTTTAAATGATGAATTTTATAAACTTTTAGTAATTTTTGTAGTCTTTATAAACTTCGATAAAATTTGTAAGAGTTTATAAAAAATTCTATATACAAAATATTTATAGACATTTATTACCTTTTATACTTTTTTTTAAAAAAATTTTAAAATATGCACAAAAGTCAATAATATTCTAAATTAAATACTTCTATATAAATTTTTAATGATTTCGATTTGTAATATTTATAATTTTCTTACAAAAAATTATAATATGTCATCATATAATTCTTTTGTCATGAAACTCTCATATTTCTTCTTCCTCCTCTGTATCAACATTCTCAACTTCATTATTTTTATCTATAGTAAAGAATGTCAATCACTTATACGGTATTAATCAGCACATAACCACTTGTTAGTAATAATATATTATATAGTTTATTTGTCTATGGCTATTGCTTAATTGACTAGTCTAAACTATTGTATTCTCTTTCCTGATTGAAAGAGAATTGAGTTTGTTCATCTGGTATCAGTTAGTGTTAGGCTAGGAATCCTCCCTCTTTTTTCTCCACCACCGTATCATGTCGACAAACTCCTCTGAGCGTACCGTTACCACCACCCCTCCTTCGCAAACAACCGGGAACTCCCTAAATGCCGCACATCACTTTGTATCCATAAAATTAAACAACCGAAATTTTTTATTTTGGCGCACTCAAATTATTCCATTTTTGCGCGGACAGGGACTGTTAGGATACATTGACGGCAGCCACCTATGCCCTCCGGCGACACTTCTAGCAGCGACGCAGCCAGGCTCCTCCGGCACCACCGCGGCTGGTTCGGTTGTCGACAATCCGGCACATGCGGCGTGGGTCCAACAGAGGATCAATCGATCCTGTCTCTCCTGATCTCGTTTCTCTCCGACGAGGTCATGCTGCTCGCTGTTGGCCGGGAAACGTCACGCGATGTCTGGCTCTCCATTAATGAATCGCTGGCGTCCTCTACCCGGGCTAGGTGCCTCAATTTGCTCGGCAAGTTTCAGACACTCCGGTAAGGAAGCATGACGGCGTCGGAGTATCTCGGGAAGGCGAAGATGCTCGTCGAAGCTCTGTCTCTGGCCGGCCATCGTCTCTCCCTCGATAAACAGGTGCTGTACGTGTTGAGAGGACTCCGGCCGAAATTTAGGGCAATGGCGAGTGCTCTCACTGTGACCGGCACACCGGTCACCTTATCCCAACTCGGCGATCTCCTCCAAGCACAGGACTTCATCCAGGGGGATGAATTCACGGTGGACCAGTCTAGCAGTGCTGCTCCAGTGGCCATGTACGCCGGTCGAGGAAGCCAGTCCAACGGCGGCTCTAGACGTGGTGGGCGGCACTCGAACAATCGCGGCCGTGGGCGAGGTGGACGCCAGTCCGGCGGAAGCCGTGGCCGTGGCAGTCCTTGCTGCCAAATCTGCAGAAGCCACGGCCACACAGCCGTGTTCTGCAACAAGCGCTACACCGAACCACCGCCGACCGCTCACATGGCAGTCGCGGGAACACCTCCGCCGAAAACTGCTCAATCCGAGGCCTGGTACCCCGACACCGGCGCTACCACCCACGCGTCGCCGGACGAGCAGTTGATCGGTCACTCCGAGCCGTACACTGGTGGTGATGTGTTGAAAGTAGGCAACGACGCAGGTTTGAATATCTCTCGTGTGGGTCGTACAATAATCCCATCCAATTCTAAAGTGTTAAATATGTCAGATGTTCTATTCGTTCCGAGTTTGTCATTATCACTTTTATCTGTTTATCGTTTCACTAACGAAAACAATGTGTTTTTTGAGTTTCATAAAGACTCGTTTTTTGTGAAGGATTGCACTACTCGGGAAATACTCCTTCAAGGATCCGCGATAGGCGGCTTGTACAAATTGTTGGTGCCGAGGTCACATTTTGCACTCTTGACCGCAAAAACTACACCTGCAGTCTGGCATCAACGTTTGGGTCATCCACATAAGCAAGCCCTTCAACGCGTCCTAAAACACTGTCCGGTCACGTCAAATAAAGCCCATGCGTCAGAAGTCTGTTCCGCCTGTCAACTTGGAAAATCATCCCGGTTTCCCTTAGATAGAGTTTATACTTCAAGTTTAAATGTATTAGATTTGTTGTATACAGATATCTGGGGTCCGTCTCCGGTTATTTCAGAATCTGGTTATCGTTATTTCGTGTTATTTGTAAATGATTGTACTCGATTTTGCTGGTTTTATCCCTTACGGTTAAAATCAGACATCTATAAAATTTTTGATTTGTTTCGGGTGATGGTAGAACGGCGGTTTTCCCGTTCTATCAAAGCCATCCAGTCGGATTTAGGGGGTGAGTACCGCCGCCTCCACAAAATATTTGAGTCCTTAGGCATCACACACAGACAATCGTGTGCCTATACCCATGAGCAAAACGGCCGTGTTGAATGCCGGAATAGACATAATGTCGAAACCGGCTTGGCCCTATTAGCCGAAAGCTCAACTCCATTAAAATATTGGGATTATGCTTTTGAAACGGCAACTCAATTGATTAATTGCTTACCATCATCTGCTATATCTTATGAAACACCACACTTCCGTATACATAAAACACCACCCCCATACACTTTCTTCCGTGTCTTCGGGTGTAAATGCTATCCGTATCTAAGGCCGTACAACCGGCACAAGATCGAATATCGTTCTACACCGTGTGTCTTCCTAGGTTACCCAGTTTCTTTTAGGGGATACCGCTGTATGGACTTAACTACGGGAAAGATATTTATCTGCCGTCATGTGAGCTTTGATGAAACAGTGTTTCCTTTTGCTGTGCAGACTCCTTTGCAGGTTAACTCTAACCCGGATCCCGCTCCACCACCTTGGGGAGCTGGGCCCGTGATGGTAAATCCTGTCAGCACTCCGGTTCTAGACGAACCGCCCCTAGCACAGCAGCCGGTCCCTATGGCTATAGAAGGACCACCCCAGACTGGGGCGAGGCGAGGCCGACCTCCAGGCCGAGGTAAACGCACTCGTCCTCCGGCCGAGGATCATGTCATGCGCACCAGGTGCAAAACCCGAGGCACAGAGGAGCAGTTCTATGCTCTCAACACCACCGTGGACCCTACTTGCTACTATCAGGCTGTAGGGCACCCACAATGGCGTGATGCTATGGATCAGGAGTTCAACGCTCTCATGCATAACAACACGTGGAAACTCACCCCGGCAACCCCGAAAATGAACGTTATCGGTTGCAAATGGGTCTTTCGTACCAAACGCAAGGCCATGGGACCATTGAACGCTACAAAGCCCGCTTAGTGGCTAAAGGGTTCAACCAGGTTGCTGGCGAAGATTTCTTCGACACTTTCAGCCCTGTAGTCAAACCGACTACTGTTCGTATTCTGTTTTCTCTTGCGGTATCTCACAAGTGGGTATTGCGGCAACTGGATGTCCACAATGCCTTCTTGAATGGGCACCTATCTGAAACAGTTTATATGAAGCAACCGCCCGGCTATGAGGATCCGTCACATCCGGGTCATGTCTGTCACTTGCAGCGTTCGCTCTATGGCTTGAAGCAGGCACCCCGAGCATGGTTCAATCGCTTACATGAGTTTTTGACATCCACTGGTTTTCTGGCATCCAAAACCGATGTCTCACTCTTTTATTATTCAGTGGGAAACTCACGGGTATACTTATTAGTCTATGTGGACGACATAATCATGATGGGCAACGACTCGGCTTTGATAGACATTCTCCTCCGTCAGTTATCGACTGCTTTCAAAATCAGGGATCTCGGTACACCTCACTTCTTTCTAGGGATAGAAACAGTACCTTCCGGTGACGGTTTAATTCTATCACAACGGCGCTATATGAAGGATATCCTTACGAGGTCAGGGATGACGGACTGTAAGGCTTTGGCTACCCCAGCGGCAGTTACTCAACCAGCTACACCTTCCTTAACTCCATTTGAGAACCCAACTCAGTATCACAGGATTGTAGGAGCGTTGCAGTATTTAACCATTGCCAGGCCAGATCTCTCCTACTCTGTGAACAGGTTGTGTCAGTTCATGCACTCTTCGACTGATGATCATTGGGCATTACTCAAACGGGTGTTAAGGTACATTAAGGGGACTCAGGAATACGACCTTCGTCTATCTCTGTCAGCCTCTTCTGATCTTCATGCTTACACTGACTCAGACTGGGCCGGATGTCCGGTTGACCGTAAGTCTACTAGTGGGTATGCTGTGTTCCTTGGCGATAATCTTGTGTCATGGGTCTCACGCAAGCATCACACTGTTGCCAGGTCCTCCACAGAAGCTGAGTACAAAGGGCTTGCCGATGTTTCAGCCGAGGTCACGTGGGTTATTTCCTTACTCCGTGAACTAGGGTTACACTCCGATACTCCGGCCACGCTATGGTGTGATAATCTAGAGGCTACTCACCTAGCAGCAAATCCAGTCTTTCACGCCCGCACAAAACATGTCGAGATCGATTATCACTTTGTCCGGGACAAGGTCGCCTCTGGTGATTTCATTGTTAGTTTTGTCTCAACTAAAGACCAGCTGGCAGACATCTTCACCAAACCACTACCAGCTCCACGTTTTCAGGCTTTGAGGCTGCTGCAGAACCTAAATTCACTGCCGCGGAACGGTGAATAGACTTACCCGGGAGATGATCGAGGAAGTAAATAATATATACGCTAATATGAAATCAACAAACCTTTTGAGACTAGGAATATATCATGGGCCCACCACACGGACTGGAGTTGCTTACCTCATAAAGCTTTTTTACCGCCTGTATACTAGCCAGAATAGGGATGGTGGAGTTCGGAGTGATGGGGCAAACACAAATTATGGGAATATAATGAATCATGAAGAACCGAGACAAGCTCAATGTTGTCGCCCTCCAACCTTGTGCTTGAGGGGGTGTGTTAGTAATAATATATTATATAGTTTATTTGTCTATGGCTATTGTTTAATTGACTAGTCTAAACTATTGTATAGGAGCTTTTAGTGGTAGCTTTCCTATAGGTCTCTATCCTGTATTCTCTTTCCTGATTGAATGAGAATTGAGTTTGTTCATTCCACTTACAAACAAAACTATTTCATATAAAGAATTCATAACAATACTAAATAAACTCGTTAGTTCTCGTGTGATGTTTGCACAGTGATAGCCCGGAGATATGCGTGTATAGAGTAAAAGAAGTAGAGAGGAAGAACACAAGATATAGGGATCCACAACATCTCTATAATTTCATTAGCGTTATATTCACTCCCTTATATAATGGTTTATACAACCTTTCATATACAAAACATAAATACTGGATTAAAAGCTAAAGCAAATTGTAACACCCCAGATTCTAAAGACATTTAAAACTTATAATAAAGGTAGAATTTTATTAAATTCCAAGATATAAATACAAGCGTTCGGGGTGCTATGCCACACCTGGGCTAGAGAACCCAAGTGCACAGGCTAACTAACTAATATCCTCAAAGCGTAAATACGTAAACGTGGCACGCAGGCCAAAAGGGAAACTATCTACTTCTAAATTCTAGCGCACTCCAGTGACTTAATCTTCTGTGCCTGAAAGCCAAATATATCTGTTCAGCGAGAGATGCTGGTAACCCACTCCAACGCGTTGAAATACCATACATATAGAGATATATATAGATATACGAAAACCATTTTGAGCATGAAGATATATCCTACGAACTCTAGCTTTAAAAACCGGGAATGACTCGACAGATAAGGCCAGACACAAGCAACAGTTATAACGAGCATATGCAGTTCACAACAGATAAGGCAGATAAGGCAAAGCATAAACAATGATCACAACCCAACATGAACAATCCCCAACATAAATCCCATAGTCACATCCCCCAAGATACTCGTAATCACAACTCGTCCCTGTCACAACACATAACACACTTTGTTGGCGCCACAGGACCAATCGCATGCCCATACATGAGGGTCAGCGCATATAGCTCTGACACGGCCCCGCAGCACCCTGCCCCGTATCGCAACACGGAGGGGTCGATCGCAACCGACCGATGAACCGCAGCTCATCATAGTGTTTGATCGCAACCAAACAGTGGACCGCAGCCCAAGAGAATGTCATCTGACCGCAGCCAGGAAAAAGGACGAACCGCAGCTCGTATAGAAACGTTTGATCGCAACCAAACGGTGGACCGCAGCCCAAGAGTATCAATCTGACCGCAGCCAGCTTCTGAACCGCAGCTCAGGATAACCAATCCGATCGCAACCGAATTGGGGTAACACACACACATAACACATAGCAAGCACATGCAACCCACATTACACATTAGGAAGGGGGAGAAAACGTATAACAAGACCTATGCGTGATCCATCACATACTAAGAATAGTCCTAAGGGATTCATACTTCTACCACCTAGGTCAACGGGATACCAATTCAACTAGCATGCAATATAATAGACTCATAAACCTACGAACGGTACCCGAAACATCAAACTAGACATAGGCACGATAAACGGAGTCCGTTGGGACACCACGGGGAACGGGGGAACATCAAACGGGGAAGCCGGGATCCCAAGGTGGGATAATTTCCAGCGGGTAGCCGGTGGGTGGGGGCCACCCGCCGGCTGCCCGCCGGACTTTACTGTTCCGGGCAGCGGGTCGCCGGCGGGCAGCTGCCCGCCCGCCGGCTACCCGCTGCCGGGCGGTGTTTCTCGGCCGTGGGTAGGTGGCGGGTCCCCTACCCCCCACTGACTCTTTTCACACAATAACGTCCCGGGAACCTTTGTGGAACCCGAAACCATGCTTAGACACTTTACAACGCAACTAATAATTAACACGTAGACAATTAACGGATCAAATACGAGAAACGAACGGCACATAACCTATCATGCTTTTCTAATATAATCAACACCCAAACATGCGATTTCCCCACCCGATAATCCAAGAATAAGATCATACGATACAACCTAGGGTTCTAATCACTTTTATATCAACAAGTATACGGTT